TAGGTTCCTAGGAAATTTACCAGCAAGGTTGAAGGGAAGATGGGATATGAAGATTTTGTTCATTTCATATTATCTGAAGAGGATAAGTCATCAGAACCAAGCCAGGAATATTGGTAGGTCACGTTGATTTTACTACTATTTGTTATTATTCCTTAACCGTGCGATGCTCAAACTTCAATTATTGTCACTAGTATTAGAGTGTTCATTTATCTGTCTCAGTTCCTGTTGTATATCACATAGGAACGGAATCTAAATTGTTTCAAGTTTATGCATCTTCTATGCTGTTTTGATTTTCAAGTTTATGCCCCTTATGTAAGCATCAGAAACATTTCTGGGCAACTTGGGCATGCTATTAGACCTCAGGCTAAAAAGTAGTCACAGGACAAACCCCCCAAAGTAACCTTCATCAAAAGAATCTTCATGTTCCTATGGTACTTGTTTCACTGCCAATTTAAGATGGCATACTTCTTATTAATGGTCCCTTCACCAAAGTTCCCTTCATGCTAATCATTCAAATGACAAATGAATGTCACTTCTCTTATTTGTCACTTCTTTTGAGCTTGAGTGTTGAATATTCTAACAATTTATCTTATTTGTGCTGCACATAATCTCTCTTCAGGTTCAGATGTATAGATGTGGATGGCAATGGCATTCTCACACATAATGAACTACAGTTCTTTTTTGAGGAGCAACTTCATCGCATGGAATGCATGGCCCAGGAACCTGTACTGTTTGAAGACATCTTGTGTCAACTAATTGATATGATTGGACCTGAGGTAACCAAACATTTTTCTGTATTTCTATTCTGTTACTAGGTTCTTAGGCTTTTTAAGCTGATATATTTAATTTGTTCTTGTTTCAGAATGAGACCTTTTTTACATTAAAAGACTTCCGAAGGTGCAAACTGTCTGGGCATTTCTTCAACATTCTCTTCAACCTGAACAAATTTATGGCCTTTGAAGCTAGAGATCCCTTCCTCATCCGCCAAGTAAGTCAATTGCCCACTCATATTCTGATAAAATTCAAACAATATTAGCAGATTATGTCATGCTGATAAGTGTTTATGATATATTATTTCCTGATGCAACTGCAGATGCGTGAAGAGCCATCATTGACAGACTGGGATCGTTTTGCTCGGAGAGAGTATATAAGATTGGCCATGGAAGAAGATGGTGAAGATGCTTCAAACGCAAGTGGAGATGTTTGGGATGAGTCACTTGAATCTCCTTTCTAAATTGCAGAAGCTGAGGAATTTGGCAAGGCACATCAGAGCATTCACAGACATCCTTAATAATATCAAAATGAATCGAGCTGATGGTGAAATACTGAACAGCTATTTGATATCTCTACAGAATTTACAGTTGAGGCAACTGTACTCGTGTTGATACATCTAAAGTTTGAAATAGTTTGCCGTGGAGGGCCAATCCAAATCTAGAGACAAATACTTTGATCTAGTTGCCAGTTTCGGTTCTTGATGCCTGTGAGTTTGAACGGCAATTACATTCATGACATGGATCTGGCCTAGTTTTGCTGTTAAACCGAAGCGCAAATCTACATCTACTTGTGATATTCTGAAGTCATCATCCATAGTCAACTGACAAATAAGAAAGTGCATGGGTTCTGATTGAGGGATGGAATCATCGTATGTTCAACTGTACATTGGCTGGAACCACAACTTTACTTTTTCTCATAGTGTTGATTAGATATATGTTTTCTTTTTCAATAAAGTCATCGAGAAGATCATTTACCTGTGAATTTTGTATCTATAATAGTTTGTAGTCGCAATGAACAATGAGTTATTATACAAGATTTATTGTTGCTTTTCTAATAAGTACGTGACAAACTGATGCTGAGAAATATAAATTATAATACGATCATTTTTTTGTCTAATAAGATTCGATCAATTTTTGTGCTGCATGATGTACATGTGTTAAGAAAGATGGAACGACCAAACAACAAAACTATTCTGAATTATCTCAAGTAAATAATTTTGGACCAGGTTAATCTGTAATTTCTGTAAGATATACGTATTTGCAACAATTTGATGGTGATACGCACATGACTACAGGAGATAAAAACAGTGGCTTGAGTGGCTGAACTTCTTGCTAATACCACATCAATGATTGCCTCATGGAGAAAGGTACAGAAAGAAAAGAGTATCCTTTTGCTCATCTTTTGAAGCAAAATGATAATAAATAATTAAGAGCAAAAGGAGGCATCTATCATTGAGTCATCTTTCCTACAACGGTGGAAAGAAGCAGAAGGAACACAAGATTGCAAAATTAAGCATATCCATGCTGCAGATAGAAGAATAATAGCATATTAAACTGCAGAAAAATCAGCATGTTAAATTGAAGAATTATTAAGCAGTAGTATCCTCTCATGGTTTACACACACGCACACACAAAATCAAAGATGAACTGAATTCTCATCAAGAGTTTACCCTGGATAGGACAAAGTTTCTATCTTAAAAAAAAAACACAAAACACAAAAGCCTTGCATATGCCATTTCATTAAGATATCTAAAGTAACATCGACAAAATAGCAGGCCAAACCGCCAAAGGTTGATACAAATTGTAATCTGGAGTTGATACAAATCCCAAATAAGAATTCCTCTCGATTTAGAAAGAATGCCAAATAGCTGACTAGTATTTAGTTTCAAACTAACTACTACTAGTCAGCTATTAAGGGTTGATAATTGTTAGTAGTAATTGGGAATAAGCATCCCTCCACAGAAGTAGAAGCAACCAAAGGTTGTGTATACTTCTTTATTGGAGTATATCCAAGATTCATTCCCTCAAAGTTAAGCCCTTACATTTCTTTTCTGAATTGTCTCTTTAGGAACAGTTAGTTGCTAATCATAGGGATTCTGATAGAGCATTGTGTCGCAATCATATTAGCAATACACATTCTGCTCTTTTTCTAGAATCCGTAAAACCATGCCTTGCAAATAATCACTCACAGATTCCAGCAACTCCAAGCTATTTTTGCATTGGAGTTCTTGTCTGGAGTTCTCAAGTTAGGAAGAAATCAAGAAACTAGCCAGCCAACTATTTAGATTTATTTTCTTTTAAAAGTTGATAATTGAGTAGTAGTTGTGTATAAGCATCCCTCCAGAAAAAAAGTAGCACCAATCAAAGGTTGTGTATACTGCTTTATAGTATATTCAAGGTTCATTGCCTCAAAGTTAGACCCTTACATTTCTTTTCTGAATTGCCTCTTTAGTCACACTTAGCTGCTAATCATAGGGATTCTGATACGATTTTGTCTCAATCCTATTGACAAAACACATTCCAATCCTTTTCTTGAACCAGTAAAACCATGCATTTTGCAAGGATCAATTCACAGATTCCAGCTAATTTGGCATTGGAGTTCTTGTTTGGTGCCACACAACTAACTAGATGTTCCCCATACGTGTTAAATGCCCAGTTTGAAATTGTAGTAAAGGTTCATCTAAAGCCTAGGGCACTAAGGCACTAACTGTTGTGGTGATAAAGGTTGCTTAGACCACAAATCACATCCCTATCCTGTAATATCAATTGTATAATTGAATGATGGTTCTAATGGCTCATTGGCCTAGCCATTGACGTCATCAGAAAAGCTCTTCTGATCAACCCTTTGTTTGGGCTGAGGTACTGCAAAAATTGCAAAAGAGAAAAGGTGTCCTTGTCCATGCTAATAGTCTATAGTTTCCTCAAGCAAGATACTTAGCCTTGTAGGAGATGAACTTGCCGACTAGGACCTGACCAAACACTAGAAAAATTGCTTTCATTTTTTAGTGCTATTGAGAATTGCTTTCATTTTGAACAGAAAATGTCTTGAAGACACCAGATGATATGCAAATAAGATAGCAAAATTCAGTTTTTTTTTAAAAAAAAATAGCAAATAAAAAAAGAGTATGCGTGCAAAACTGAGTCTGGACTTTAGACCATCAGCAGTGAGCATGATTCATAAGAAACTCTTGCCAGAGATGTAGGACATAACTCCATGTTCATGATAACAATAGAAAGGCTAAGGCTCAGAAAAAGCAATGGTCAAAAGGAGTCATCGTTAACAATCATCGACTTTTTAATGATAACAACATAAATTGATTGCTAATCAGTCACAAGAACATGAAATAGTTCTTCTACACACCAAAGCGATTTGGTACATTCTGATTAAACAATCATTGCCACTACTGATTGGTAAGTAAACAAAAGCTTTCAATAACATGAGAAGCCTAGTTGCCTAGTCCAAAACTAAAGTACTTCGTAATGCCACTGCAGAGTACAACATAAAATCATGTACACAAAGGACTGTTGAGTAATAGCACATTGGTATATTATTTATGAATTCCAGAAAGGTCACCATATCTACCTACTGTTTTAGGTAAAACTAGCTGTCAATGAATCTAAATAAACGATTGAAGATGAACAAGTAGCCAAAGACTATTCAAAGAAAGAGAAGAATTTACCAGTGTCTTGATCAAACAGTTTCCAAGCTATACGTAACATGCAGAGTGGAATGAACAATTGGAGTGCTGGCATAGGCCATGTTTAACATTTGCAGATTCACTGAAGATATTGTTGTCGCATCTTGATATAAAAGGCTAGGAAGGTAATTGCTTTACTTGGTCACAAGAACCAATTTGGCCAGAGTGCCTAATGCATTACTCTATGTTTGAGCACACATTATTCACTATAACTGTGTAGCATTCAAGATGATATTTGACATATTAAGAATGAAAAAGAAAAGGAGAAACTTACATCTGATTGTGAACTTAGATGGTGTAAACAACTGGTGCAATTTCTAAATGAAGATTCAAATATCATGCCCTGTTCATATTTCCAAATCTTTCTCATCTCCCTTCTCTGGGTAAATTTCACATGCATTGCAATCGCCATTCCATAGGAAAAATGACGGCTATGCGCATTGCAGATTCTACCTGGAACAGAGAAAACAGTTGTTACTTTAGACAGAATTTCCACACAGAAAAGCATTTTTTCGAGAAAGCATACCTTTCTCTACGACGCCGACATGTTCGCAGCAATAACCTAATGCTATATCTCATAAATCAACATGATAATCTCAAACAGCCACAAAGATGCAAAGGCAAACTTGCTTACAACACAAGTAGGCCATTGTCTACAACTTTAGATGCTTTTCTGACAATTTAAAAGGAACACATCTCTGCTCAACCTTCCCCTCCATTCATTCAGAGCACCCAACTCCTTGAAACTAAAATCCACTGCCTCTTTCCTCCTCCACATTGCAAACCTTCCAAAATCCCCCTCCCTATCAAACATGCAGCATGATGCCATATCCAACATTGCATACCATCCTAGCATGGATTTCACAAGCTTTTTCCTGCCGCAAACCGACGCTTACTCGCATGATCTCAGTGCATTGCTGGACATGGCTGTGGTTGATCCATACATCAGCTGCAATGGCAGCAGCATCACCATGATTCCAGTGACTGAAGATGAAGCAAATGCTCAGCCGATGAACCATGGCAATGACGAGAGGAAGAAGAGAAGGCTGGTGTCAAACCGTGAGTCTGCAAGGAGGTCCCGGGTGAGGAAGCAGAGGCGCCTGGATGAGCTCTCATCTCAGGTTTCAGAGCTTCGAGACACCAACCAGAGGCTTCTTGTTGAGCTGAATCACATGATCTCCAAGCATGCTCGCATTGTCAGGGAGAATTCCCAGCTCAGAGAAGAAGCTTCTGACCTGCAGAGAAAGCTCAGTGAGATGAAAATGGAAGATGCTGAAGTAGCTGCTGCTGCTGCTGCAGCACCACGAACATTAGAAGTAGCTTAATTAATTATTTAAGCTAGTTCTAATGTTCACTAATTAATTGCAGCATATCATGGCTAGTAGCCTTGGAGTGTTGCATACTGCATAGTTGTACTACTAATTAATTATAGGTGAATATTCTTTTTTTTTTATTTTTATTTTTCCTTTGTGCAAAGAGAGCATATAGGTAATTCGAGACTACTACCTTTGTATTTTGTACTAATATCGATTGAATTGAGAATGGCTGAATTCTCCTCCTCTAGATATGTCAAAAGAATATGACAAAAGAATTTAAAGATGCATGTCATTTCATTTGATAGCACCTTTTGACTGGTCGATTAAGAGCATGTCAATTGTCAATCAGTCCTAAACGCTACTACTACCACCTTTTGTTGGGCATTATTGCCCTGTACTTTATCCATGATTGCCAGTGTTACATCAATTTCAAATGGTAAGCATGGCTGATGATGTTTTTTATGTACAGAGCACAGTTACATTTGGCAAGTGTTATAAGAGCACTTTCAGAAATCAAAAGATGCATACCAAAACTGTAATAAGACAGTTCTGCTCCCCCCTCAGAAATTGCAGGTCTGTGACCTCCAAAGAGAGGTAAAGAGTGGTAGAGAAGAGATTACAAAAACAATTTGTGACAATTAAACCCATCTAATGCGTCATAAAAACAATTAAACCCATCTCAATTTGTCAGACAGACAACTTGTCAGAGAGAACATTTGGGGTAGCTATCACATGTCAGAAGCAATCTCCTGGGCGATCTGATAAAAGATTCAACAAATCCCAACCATTACAAATCATGCATTCGAAGGGGAATTCTGTTTTCAGCTTCAGAAACAAGAAAAAGGAACTGTAGCTAATCAGATTAGTGCAAGAGCCTTGAAGATAACCGACAACTCATCATTCATACGAGCCGAAGAACGAGAAAATGAGTGGATCGAACTACTTAGTTTTGTACATTTACAGCATATCATAGGACAACAATATGCTGAGTGTTAGCCAAAATGTTGGATGCCGGTACAGTTTTCCTGCCAACATTCCAAGGGAGTTGGGGGGTCCCTCTACCTACGTCAGTTCAGTTTCTTGTCTTAGCTGCCTGATCATCATACCAAATACTGGGACCGCATCAAAATGAAGTTTTCTCAGGTCCATTTTCTACCACACATTCACTTGCGCCTTCAGCACCCATGGTTGCGCTGTCTCCACAGCCCTGTCAATGTAGGAGGCAATACATCACATTACAACACAGCAGTTTAATCGTACCATGTGCTTTACTAAATTTGAAAGATAAGACCGAGTAAAATGATAACATCGACAGAGACTGCCAACAACTATATCATTCCTGGAAAAGACAGGTGGTGACTGGTGACTGGTGTCAAACAAGCCTCCTAATTAGCATTGCTACCTGTTGTAAAAACAACAGACTAAGAATATGCCAGCAAGTTGGTCCCAAACGTTGGGTCAAGTGTGACCTATGCTGAAAAACAAAGGGCAAGCGCAATGTTTGCAAGGATGAAAATACTCAAGTTTAGTAAAATATAATGACTTTCACAGTGTTTCAATTTGGTCCCATAAATAGGTTCGATCAAGGGAAACCTATCATTAAAAATAAAGGTCCACAGTCCCCTGCAATGTTTGCAAGGGAGAGGTAAATTCCCAGATCAGGTTTAGTAAAATCCAATTGCTTTCACAACGGTTAATGAAATTAGCATTCGAACTGGTACATCAGTATACATGAACCAATCATGTCACCTGCCATTACAGCCTTACAGACACAATCAGAGAAGTTGCACAGGTCCTCACTGTTTGCTTTGGTTAAAATTAAGAACAGTGGTTTTCTGCTCATGCATTTTATCCTAAAGGCTTCTTCTATGACTTAATATGAGCTCTTAACTTCTGGTTTCCCTAAAGGCTTCCTATGCTTTCTCCAGTTCATAACTTAATATGTGGGCATGTTTAGCCAACAGAGCTTACAATTAAATATCCCTAATTGTTCATTCCTGAGTTTCAAAATTCAAATGTACATTTGGAATAAGCAAATAGACAGGCAATATCCAGCACACCAATAATTACATTAGCATTGAAATTTAGTCAAACCACTTAACTATAAATACTTTGCAGTTTCACTATTTTATATTGACCATTGAAGTCCAATTCGTTTTTTTAAAAGAGAGCAAATACAAATTTTTTTAAAAAATTATGAAGATGCATGCTGTAAGCCACCGCCATGAAAGTGCACCTAAGATCTTTTCCACTAAATGTCAACATCATACCTGTGCCGGTGCACCCTGATGCTCCACTGCTGCTAGAACAATCACGCGCCGAGCCATACGTTGTTCATAATCGTCATCTTCAGTGCGAACTTGGTGCCGGCAGACAGGGCAAGTGGTCCTGATAGTTAACCATGGCCAGATACAGTCCCCATGGAAGTAATGCTTGCACGGGAGCAAGGCGACGATCTGCCCCGACGCAAAAGAGTCCTTGCACACGGCGCAGCCACGAGAGGCCTCCTCTTCACTGAGCGTCGCCTCCGGCAAGCTCTCCACCACCAATTGGGACGCACGCGAGGGCCGCATGCTCATGCCGGCACCGGCCTCCCTGACCTGTCCTCCTCCGAGTACCTCGACAAACTGGAAGTCATCGGAGTCAGTGTCATCGGCGTCCACCATCATCCGGAATCCCGCGGCGGTGCCACTGATGGCCCGCGGCGGCGGCCCGAACTCGAATCCATTCGGCATGATCCCCCCGCCATTGCCGGCCTCCTCCTCCTCCACCACCACCTCTTCCCGTACCTCATCGGCGCCCATCACCTCGTGGATGTCCTCGAGGATGCCCCCAATGGCCATCGCTGTGTCGAGATCGAAGGCGCTCACCATGAACCCATCTACGTCGCCGCCGCCGCCGATGCCGACGCCGTGGCCGTGGCCGAGGACCAGTAGCTCCTCCTCCTCCTCCTCCTCTTCGTCCTCGGAGAGGCGCATCGCGGACACGATCTGGTGGAGGGTGGCGGAGAGGTCGCCGTCGGAGTCGAGGGAGCGGGCTAGGGTTTGGGGGAGGGGATCGTCGTCGTGGGGGTCGCCCGTCTCGCGGGCGCCGGAGGATGACGCGTCGGAGAGGTCGCGGACGGAGAAACCGGAGACGCAGAACTCCTCCACGCCGCCGCCGCCGAAGGGGCCGTCGCAGAACTCCTCCCAATCGTCGTCGACATCGGAGGCGCCGTAGCAGAGATCCTCGACGTCGAACGGCCCGTAGCAGAACTCATCGCCGTCGCCGTCGTCCCCGAAGAATGAGGAGTCGTCGCCGGCGAGCCCCGCCATGGGGATCGGGGCAGGCGTTTCTGTCTTCCGTTGGTTTTTTTTTTTTCCCTTGTCGCAACTCGCAAAGAGGAAGCGTGATTTCAAATGCCGCTTTCCCAGTCTGAAAGCGTATTTTGTTTCCTTCTTTATATAGCCCACCCGACGCCGTTTGATCTCCACGAAGATGTTAGGCCCTGGCCCATTATTGAACTTATCAAACTACGGGCGGAATAAGTTCACTTGCCATCCGTCATCTTTACGTCTAGTTTAACTTATATTCCTAAACCGCGGTACCAGAAATCTTCACTCTCCATCTTAACAGAACCGTATAATTCAGGTCCTTTGACGACGGTATAGATGACGGTTTCACTGACGTAGCATCCTATTTAGTAAAAAGAAATTAAAAGGCACATGGGGCCCACCTGTAAGTGACATACATCTTCCTCCTCTACTCCCTTTATCTTTTCCCTGCATCTGCATGTCGTAGCAGCAACCCTTCGCCCGCAAATCTACGTGTCAACTGTCAAGACAAGTTAACCAAATAACCATCCCTGAAATAAAACAGATAGCTCCTGAACAAAAAAGGAAGCCTTTTTAATTGTTGCAAGCCTGCAACCGGTGAACATGCTCACACACCGATCGCATGCTCGAATTCTCGGCAATCAACGAAATAACCCAGCAACAACATTAAAAACCAGAGCCTTTCTGATGAAAACTGAAGCAAAATTAATTGAAGGTGGCCTTGCCGTACTTAATGATCCAAGCCACATAGATCGATTTATCGACCGACTTCAAACTGAATTGGCTATGTGCTTCCGCTGAGCAAGGACAACAACACAAGGAGATAAGTGTTAATCTCCCTTCCTAATCCTTCCGATCCTGTTGCTATAAGTCGGTTAAGTGGTTATGGCAAGGAGGATGTCTATATGTACACATGTTCTGTGATTATTCAATCTATCGCTTCAATAAGCAATATTTTCTAGTGGGGCGATTGGATTCGCCTGTCCTGAGCTAGAATTCCATGGTGCAACGGCGTCGCTGGTGTGAAAGCCACGGCAATGATGGACATATATACTTGGGTGCCCCGACGCGGCTTGCGTCTACAAGCTCGTCAAGGTCATCATATCGTCGTGCAGCCCCTGCCCCCCTGCTCCTAGCACAACATCTACCTCATCCATCTCCACACGAGCCGAGCCCTCTGCGCGCTATCGCGCCCGTGAGCTCAGCCCCGCCCGATCCCTTCGTCTCGTGCACCGGCGCCGCCTTCATGCGGGTTTGCTCGCATGCCAAGCCCCTCCGCGCGAGGCCTATCCCGGCGCGGCGTCCACCCGGCATGCCATCGGTCCCTCCGCTTCGCTGTTGTGGGACGTGGGTCGGGGATGGATGGATAGGCAAGGCGGCTGACGAGCTCAAGCATAGCCTCCATTACGGACACGCCTGAGTGAGATTGGGAAAGAGAGAGGAGTAGAGGAAGAAAATGTCTTGGGTCTCACATGTCTTTTTTCTGACTAGGATGCGCCCGCACCGTGAGACCTGATTTGAATGGCTTTGTCAAGATGGAGGATAAAGTATGCACACGTGTGACATATGGCAAGACAACAAGACGATTTGCCCCCAAAAAGAAAAAAAAAAGAGGATAAAACGGATTTGCCAACAAAGACGATGATAAAAAAACACCTCTCATAGTCCCGCAAACACACACTTGTGCTATTGTCGAGTAGCGGCAGATCCATCCCTCTCGCCGCAATCCGCCGTCGCCGTCGTCGCGTGGCCGTCGCCGCCACCCGCCAGTCGCCGCGCACACGCATCGCCGTTCTTTTAACTTGTCATCTTGTTGCTGTGGATAAGGGACCAAACCAAGAAAGAAAGGCGAGGCCGGAAGGAAGCAATCAGCCGCCCGCCGGGGAATTTCTTTTCCTTTTATTTACTTTAATTTAATCGAGCACAAGCAGGAGGAGGAGAGGCAAAGGAAAAGATCGATTTTGATTGGCGAGCCAAGGGGGAGGAAGGCGGCGGGAGGACGCAATCTGGATTGGAAAGTTTGGCCTTTTCTCTCTCTTTCTTTGGGCGGAAAGCGACCCCCAGCCGCGGCGACCCGGAAGGCAAGAACTCCTCCAGTTGTTGGTTTGGTGTGAAAGAGAAGAGAGAGGCTTTTGCTCTGCTGATCCACCCGGCGTTGGTTCGCCTATAAAAAAAGAGAGGAGTTTGGGGGAGGAAGAGAGAGCTTCTGTAGGTGTGATATTCTCTTTTGATCTTATCTGATCGCCGGTATTGAGCAAGGATTGGGGTTTGGGGTAAGGTATGTTTCTTTCTCCTTCTCATTTTTAGGGCTTAAAAATTTGGGTTGTGGAGATTGGTTTGTTGTAGGATTGGGATTAGGTGGTATTTGATTGGTTGGGCTGAGTGATCTCACTCTGAACAATCCCCCCGAGTAGGCGAATTCGTCTAAATTTCGATGTATGCTTCTTCCTGTCGATGGTTGTAGTGAAATCTCGTTCAAGGCATCCTGTATGAATTTAGCTGGAAAATGTTGGGTTCTGGGGGAATTTTAAGTGGTTTATCCGGTGGGTAGTGCTCAGATTGATCTTTATTGTGATTTTGCCATCATTTATTGGCAAACTTTTAATCAGAATCCGTGTCAGCTCGGATTGGTGTGCGGCAAGCTTATTTCTAATCTGTAGTTTGTCATTGATATGGTGGTTATAACTATGCAAAGCTCCTGAATACCTTATATGAACATTTTGGGTTTTTCCGAACCACAAATAAACTTGAAATTACGCTGCCCAAATTTGCGAAGACAATTAATGATCGTAGGAGTCCAAACAAAGATCCTGTTGTTCTAACTGAAGATTTTTCCCATACAGGATAGCGAACACAAATGGGAATTGGGAATGGATCACCAAGTGACAGCAGGCATGTGTCACACAAGGAAATACGAGATGAGACCACACCGCTTCTCCCAATTAAGGAAGAGGAGGAGGGGATCCATGAGTTCAATGGAGCTTCTTTCTCCGGTGCAGTGTTCAATCTGTCAACGACCATCGTGGGGGCTGGAATTATGGCACTGCCAGCGAGCATCAAGATGCTGGGAATTATCCCTGGTATCCTGATGATCATCCTTGTGGCGTTGCTCACTGAGGCATCCATTGACATGCTGGTCAGGTGCAGCCACGAGGGCAAGATTACGTCCTACGGGTGGCTGATGGGTGAAACTTTCGGTCAGTGGGGGAGGATCGCGCTGCAAGCATCTGTTGTAATAAACAACATTGGCATGATGATCGTTTACATGATTATCGTTGGTATGCCTCTGAAAACCACACCCTTTTGTTATCCTACTTCTGAACAACAACCATACTGTTGAATAGTGCTAGTACATGTTTAGTTCCTTTTTTTAGTTGCTCCTCTGAATAATCAATAATTCTTGGAAGCCAGGGAGTCTCTTAATTACTCGTGTTGAACATATGGCATGTGACATGTGAAGAAAACCCATATTTGTTTACAGAGCTTAAAAGTTAAAACTAACTCTTCTTATATTTATTTGCTTGAGGCTCTTCTAAGTATCGATACTGATTGTTGACTAAGTTATTGTTTTGGAGTTGATTTTTCCTTCTTTTTTTTTGTCTTGTTATACTTTAAGGTATGGTAAGCATTCACTCGTAATTTGATTAGCCTCCCTCCACTGTACTAGACAATATAGATGGTTTGCACTTGTGCTCATTATTGTTGTATCATAAGTTGTGGTTGTAAGTTGTCTCGTTCAATAGGCTATCAATTCACCTGAAATTATTACCGTTGATGGTTAGTAGATACTCATTCATCTTTCTTTCTTAAGGTGATGTGCTGTCCGGAACATCAACAAGTGGTGTTCATCACCGTGGCATCTTCGAGGGGTGGTTTGGACCTCATTTGTGGAATTCTCGTCCGGTTGTTCTCCTTGCTACGACTCTTTTTGTGTTTGGTCCATTGGTGAGCTTTAAGCGTTTGGGTAGGTGAATTCCACATTGTAATATGAGGTTCACTGTGCTAACTATTGTTTACGGTTAACTCATACTAATAAAACATCTTTGGTTTATAGATTCATTGAGATACACATCTGCACTGTCAGTTGCTCTTGCTGTGGTTTTTGTTGTCATCACTGCTGGAATTGCGATTGTCAGACTCATTGAAGGAACTGTGGAGATTCCCAAACTCTTTCCCGAGTTAGATGGAACTAATTCCATCTGGGAACTCTTTACAGCTGTGCCTGTTGTTGTCACTGCCTACATTTGCCACTACAATGGTGTGTTTCCTACTGCTCACTTAGTTTACGCTTGCTGTTGTTTATTTGTGTGTGGCCTGAATGTGAACTTTTCATGATTATACAGTACATAGCATCGACAATGAGTTGGAAGATAGAACTCAAACCAAGCCAATTGTGCAAACTTCACTGGCTCTCTGCTCAAGTGTGTACATTGCGACAAGCTTCTTTGCATATCTCCTCTTTGGCGAGGGTACCCTGGCTGATGTACTCGCCAACTTTGACTCCAACCTTCATATTCCATTCAGCTCTGTCTTCAATGATGTTGTGAGAGTGAGCTATGTAGTCCACATCATGCTCGTCTTTCCCATAGTCTTCTTCGCCCTTAGGCTCAATTTGGATGGACTGCTCTTCCCTACTGCAAGGCACATTTCTCGTGACAACAGAAGGTTCGCCATTATCACGGGATCACTCCTTGCTGTAATTTATCTTGCTGCCATCTTCATACCGAGCATCTGGGACGCGTTCCAATTCACCGGTGCCACAGCTGCTGTTCTTATCGGTTTTATCTTTCCTGCCATGATCATACTCAGGTAACCTAGTGACCACTAGTATTATTTTCAGTTGATACATAATTGGACATCGCTCAGGTTCTATCTGATCTAATTTGTATGTTTTTCCTCTTTCATGTAGAGATCCTTATGGAATTGCAACCAAGCGCGACAAGATTTTGGCCTTAACCATGATTGTGCTTGCGGTGCTCTCAAATTCTGTGGCTCTATACAGCGATGCACTGAACATCATCTTTCACAGGAAAGTGGAGGCCTAAAACTCCATACTTCGAGCGACAAAGTGGAATGTACAGTTAGAATGATTTGGTGAGTTTAAATTAGTAATACCCAGCAAAGCAATGTGATTTTCGGTGGTAGCCATTGATTTTTATTCTGGACACCTGAAAGGATTTGATTTGCTGCATTTGTCTAGTTTCCTGAACATAAGCTGGTTCAACATTTAGAAGAGCCACTTGTGAATTGTGATATGGTTGCGGTTGTTTGTATCTATTCCGCCAAAAAGAATTTTTCTTTTTGTTCTATACATGTTTATTCAATCATCCTGAAAATTTTAAGTGGATGACTTGAAAAGGTTGTTTATATATACAATAATGCACATTGAAACTTGAGTTGCTGTTTTGTGTTACAAAGAACTTTGAGCCACTGTATGCTACCCTCTTTTTTTTTTGCGCGCTACTGTATGCTATGTTGATTTGCAGAAATATATAATTGCCCAATTGCCTTAACAAGAGTACAACTATTTGAACAATCCAATTGAATGTGCATCAATATTGAGATTATGTACATTCTTGTGTAATTGTGTTGAACTGGCAGCTTGGTTCCGGAGAAGTTAAGCAAGATGTGGCAGGCTAAAACAGACTTCTGCGCAGATAATTAAGATGTATTGTTTACTTGATTAATATTTTGAAACATAAACTTCACAAGTAGGTAGAAAAATTGGTCCAAACAATACAGTAGATTTTTTTTTGAGAAATTGTTTTTTTATAAGCGTTGGGAAAACAATCAGCGGCAAAAATTCTGTGTAAAAAAATTTTGAAGAACAGGAGGGCCGCTAGTTCATGCACAGGGAGAAATGCTTCAGATAACTGTTGCTGTAATCAATCTTTTTTTTTTTTGAGAAATTGATGCATGTACCGCGGCACACGTCAATCAATCAAATAAGCTTATAGATTGGCAGATGAATTGTTTCGTCATATAGAATAAATTGCAATTACTAAGCATTTATTTACTGTCTAGGATACAAATTAACTAGAAATATTCCAGGAAAAGGATCTATATTTTCCCTTAAATTTTACGGTTCCTTCAGCCCAGGCAGCAATGGTAGCCATCCAATCCAGATTCTGTCCATAGGAGAAAATCAGCAATGAAGCAAGCATAGGGAAGACAGATCCCCTTACCTGCTCCGGAGAGAGAGAACTCATCCAAACTGTCACATTAGAATACTAGAGCTACTAACAAACAAAAGGCTAGCAAATGCAAATTTTCCTGCCAAGCATGTATGTACAGATGGCCAATGGCTGCTCAACCTGCAGACACTAGATGAATGCCATTGCAAAGATCAGCCAGCCATACAGGAAAACAGCATATTCTTCGATTGACAGTAGGGTAGATAACTTAATTAGCACATACTCAGATTACAAAGCAAAATAAACCAACATTGTCATTACAATGTACCTGCGCTTTGGCTGAAATCCTCTGGTAGGTCTGAAAATAGGAAATTTCGGGGAAGCTGACTCAACAAGCCAAATGCCGATGATTCAATATCCAAAGTTGGCCCGTTCAACTCTGAACTGCTAAAGGATCCACCAGATGCATTAATGATTCCAGGAAAGCATTCCCACAGAAACCAAAATTACCAATGCTCGAATAGCCTGATTCCGTCTTGAATGTTGTCCCATTGTCCACACCAAACAGCAAAGAATTAGTATTCTGCACTGGAATTTCCATTGCATATTACATCATCTGGTATTGCAGGCATGGGAGTAGACCTTGCTAAAAAGCATGGATTTTGCTTCACTGAAAGAGGAAAACATAGGGCTATACGAGGGCAATCTGTATCATGTTCACCTAAAAAACACAAACTTTTTGAGCTTACAATTGGATAAGATCATTTTCAGAAACATGGATTTCTTGAGGCTCCTGAAGAACTAATTATTTGTTAATCATTACTACTCCACTACTCCAGTTATGGACATCAGTCATCCAACAAACAGAAGAAATTAGGGGACAAAAAAAAAAGAGCGCAATCCAAACTGGTAAACAGAATAATGACATATGCTCCTACTTTTAGGCGGGGCAGGATGAGCCAGCGATATTTGGATTTTTTACCTTAAGTGAGCGGAAGCCAGGGATGACGGGATTAGTCATACGAGCATCACAGCGGCTGGGTGGCAGGAGGAAGATGACCCTTCTGACAATCTGCCTGCTGCTGGCCTATTGCGTTTGCTTTCCGTCTTGGTCTTGGCACTTTGCCCCTGAACTGCCCCAGAGGCGGTGTGCCGGCCCATCCAAAAGATTTTGACGACCCACAAAGCCCATCAACTACCAACCTTGAGGATGAACGGAGAGCATTGTGATGCTCGACACAGCTGACATCATTTTACTGAAAACGCATATTACTGGTATTAGAGTATCAAAATGGCAACAAGAATCTAATTAAGGAGAAGAAAGAGTACCTTTGGTGATCAGAAATTCAAAAGCAATTCCAAACTAAGGAGACTAGGTGAGAACTCCTGTTCACAGTGTTCCTCAACCTCAGCTTTTTCACACACAAAAATTGGTGTCCTATGAAATGGTATTTACCAAAAATCGTTGCATGAACATGTTCCCTCTCTGAAATGGTGGAACCTACTCCGGTCTCTGACTATGATTTCCCGGTTCCAAAGCCTGGAAATCAACTTGATTGCAGAGTGGCAGTCCTCACATACCCTCAGATTCTTTCTGATATGAACCGGCAAGTTTGGTGCTAGATTAATGAGGCCAAAAGCAATGGCCAGCTTCTCACTGTGTGCTAGCAGCGCTTGTTCTTTCTCTTCCTCATCCACATCCACTGTTATCTGTGATGTAAGCGGTGAATAACCCAATGACTTTAACCTGTGTGAAATCTCCTCCAGCATTGCAATGATTTCCAATATCCGTGGATGTGATTTGTCACTAACAACAAACTTGTGCACCTGCCCAGCCACAGTAATAGAACTATATCCTGCAGTCTTCTTAACTTGCCTTTCTTCCATCAACATCCTTATCTTTGACGCATTTTCCCATTGTCTAGAGTCTATGTATATGTTATATAACTGGACATAGACACCATCCTCGTCAGGTTCTAGCTTCAGAAGATGCTCTGCGGCACATTGAGCTAAGTCAATGTGTTTATGGACTCTGCAAGCACTCAAAATGGAGGCCCATATGACAGCATTTGGTTGTATGGGCATGGTCTTGACAAGATCCATTGCTTCATCCAAAAGCCCACTGCGTCCCAGCAGATCAATCATGCAGCCATAGTGCTCAATCTGAGGATGTATGTTGTACAAGATTCTCATCTCATCAAAGTACAGACGGCCTTCATTCAGTAGACATGAGTGGCTGCATGCAGTCAGAACAGCAATGTAGCTAACTGAATTAGGCTGGAAGCCATCACACCTCATCTGGTAGAAATGCTCCAGAGCAGCCTTACCCATCCCATTGAATGCAAGACCTGCGATCATAGCGGTCCAAGTATGAACATCTCTCTTGCCCATCCGTTGGAAAACAATGGTTGCCTCGTCGACCCTCCCACATTTCATATACATGTCCAGCAGTGCAGTACCAAGGTATATATCTGCTTCCACCAGCCTCTGCTCAATGCAAGCATGCAATGCTCTGCCCTGTTGTAATGCACCTAAGCTTGCGCAAGCAGTTAGAAGATTCACCACCGTAAAGTTGTCGACACGCAGGTCATGTCTCCTCATACTCATGAACAATAGCAATGCTTCTCTAAGCTGGCCACTGTGGATGTACCCAGTCATCATCGAGTTGAATGTGATGATATCACGGACCTCCATTTCATCAAACAGAGACCGTGCAACATCAACATGCCCATGCTTGCAGTATCCATCAATGATAGCATTCCATGATTGAGGCCTTGGGCCTCTACCCAGGGCATCGAAAACCTGTTGCGCATGACCAAAATCACCACACTTGGCATACATGTCGATGAGCGCAACCACGAGATTTTCACTCGTCGGCATCCCCTTCTCCTCGACAAGCAAGTGCAGGGAACGTCCCAGTTCCAAATCCTTGAGCTTTGCGCATGCCGAGAGCACGGCGATTACGGTAACCTCGTCCGGTGCAATGCCATGAGAAAGCATGGTCTTGAAGCAACCCACAGCCTCTCTGGCCCGATTGGCACGGGAGTAGGCGGCAATCAAGCTTGTCCACGAGATCACATCCCTCACTGGAGCCTGAGATAGAAGAAGCTGCGTGTCACAGAGCATGCCCATCTTGGCCAGCCCACTGATCAGCATTGTCCAGGCAACCGCGTCCTTGACATGGATCTCATCAAAAGCTCGGCGAGCGTCGGCAGCGAGCCCGAGCCGAATGTACATGTGGATGAGAGAATTCGAGACGAACGGCGCGGCGGATGGTAGCATGGTGCGCAGGCAGGCGGCGTGCAGCATCGTGCACAGGAGGAGGGAGTGGGGGCGGGAGGAGGAGGAGGAGCACTTGAACAGGAAGTGGAACGTGAAGCCGTCGGGGCGGACGCCCGCGCGGCGCATACGGCGGAAGAGGAGGAAGGGGCGGTGTGGATCGGAGCCGGCGCGGGAGCAGGCGCGGAGGGCGGTGTCGAAGAGGAAGGTGGAGGGGGGCATTCGGTCGAACAGGTGGAGGGCGTAGCGGAGGTGGAGGGGATGGGGCTCGAGGCAGTTGACGAGGGAGTTGAGGAGGTGGCGGGCGGATGGCGGGTGGAGGAGGAGGTGGCCGGAGGTGGTGAGGCGGGCGTGGAGCTCGGCGGCTTGCCTGACGGTGCGTGGCGTCGGCCATGGCGCCGGCGGCATGTCTCCGCCACTCCGTTTTCTCTCTCGGGTGAGCAGAGCGGATGCCGGTGACCACCGAGGAAGCCGTTCCCGCGGTCCCGGCAGCCGGCGGTGACCGTCGAGCAGATGCAGGAACGGCCGCACGCCGGCGGTCGTCAGCGAGCGCGGCTCGCTCCGTGCATGGGCATGGCCGCCGCCGCGAGTGCTTCCCTCGAGGGCCGAGGCAACCCCTCCAGCTCCGGCGGGCGCACTACTTGCCTCGAGCTCCTCTTCGCCGGAGCTCGTGCACAACGACCCTCGAGCTCACCGGCGGCGGCCGCGTCGCTCCCCGGCGCCGCGGCTTTGGATGGCCTATGTTGTGATCGACCCGACCATAGTGGGCCAAATCCTGTGGGCCATAGTGGGCTTTGCTCACCTACGCAGAGAAAATGGGCCTCTGAGAGAGCCCGCATGTCGGAAAGTTTAGGCCCATATCACGGAAATGGATTTTAATCCGTCAAGGGATGTTCCCTCGTTGATTCATGTCATTCAAATTGTCGTAAAAAAATAAAAAAAATTGATAAGATATATTAGTATGTAATATATAACTCACAGACATGTAAGTTGAAATTTGATCTTCATAAATTGTAAAATAAATAAATTTAATTGTAATTTGTATACATGTTCTCACAGTCATATTTGTGTTTTTCATTGTAATTTGTAAAAGTTAAATTTAAGCTTATATATTTTTAAAGTGACATATTATTGTCATTTTTCTTTAAAAAAAATCATAACTATTTAAATGGCATGCAAAGAAACAATTTTTTTTAAAAAAAGAAATCCCAGAGTTTGCCTACATTCACAGCCAAATTAAGCTTATAGAATTGAGCGCCCGTAAAACATTTATTCTGACTTGTCGTATCAAACCATTTAACCAGCGGTAGCGAAGGCTTCTCTTCGTAGGGTTTTTAACTATTTGCCACTCTTACGAGTGGTGCTTAACGATTTGCCAATAGGTCCACATGTCATAGACACATGAGAGTCCACATGTCAGACACATGAGGGCCCACATGTCATAGACACGGTGTGGCAAATCGTTAGTTGTTATGTCACAAGAGTGGCAAATAGTTAAATTTCCCTCTCTTCGTTGCCCGGTACATGTGGCCGTCAGCAACTGCAAGTGATGGCATAGCATAAATCCAATCAACCCTTCTACGGCTTTTCAATCCCAACCGAATTTTGGATTTTGGATTTTAATTTTAGAGTTGATTTTTGATTTTTTTTATTGTAGTAGTTTATTTTTGAACATCGACTAATTTTTACGTCACTAAGAGCATATGTTTTATCCATTTTTTATCGCTAATAAAGGTCACGGCTTGTAAACCGCTGTAGGCGAAAGATTGAGCTGAGAATGATAGATGATATTTCGAGCAAAATTATTCTTCCGATAATAGCAAAACTGTTCTTTAGATTATATGATGATAGACCTTTTTTTCACAGCTGCTAACAACGCAGTAACATTGATAGATCTTAGTATCTTACTGTGTCAGTTGATAAGAACTTGCCCCATAACTCCACATCTCCACGTACTCAGTGAGTACTGAACATTCTCGTTCATGTTGCTGCATATTGGCAATTTACACAATTCCCCACTTGAAATATGAGCGTTTAATTATGGTCAAATAAAACTTCAGATATGCATGGTTACCGTTTCCAAGATACAATCCACAATTGAACAGTGAACACTTTGTACTGAGCTCACCAAGTCACCATTCAATGATGCAAAACCAAAACACAAAGCATTCTAAAGAAGTTTATTCTACAAAGCCCATGGTATCACCCATACAATAATACCCACAGTTACCTTTTGGCTTTTATATTCTTATTATGGTAGTCTGTTCATTACACTCAAGCAAACACAAATTGTCTCGCAAAGATAGTTCAGTTTGACCAAAGAAACCATGTATGATAGGTATTTTATTTATCTAAGAATGGACAGGTGAGGATTAGCACTAGAAATAATACTTCAAAACCCTAGAGTTCAACAACATAGTAGTATAGTACCTTTAAACATCCAATCAATTTAAGGATGAGTTGACCTGATGCTTCAATATATTGCTTCAAGCCTCCTGTGTTCAACTGCCACAAAATGTTCAGCACATCATTGAAACCACTGTTCACTTCATGGCGATTAATTTGGTCTTCAATGGCATCATAGGATTTGGTTGAGCATCAGGTGAGTTCATCACTTTTCTCGAGTACCATACTACATATAGAGAGAATTAGACATTTTTTGAGCTGTGACTACTTAGTTTTGCCATCTCATTTTTTGAGTTGTGACTACATGCAGGGTGATTGCTACATGCTTTAACTGCAAACTTGGGTTCAGAACACTGGACAATGAATATTAATTTCTTTCTTCACGAGCTTATTTTCCAGTGGAGCAGGGGAGACCGTTCAGATCGCAGAGGATTCTTCTCTCTTCCCCTCCTGTCCCAAAGGATCATATCTGCAACTGCGCATCATCAACAGGCATGTGATCTTTTACTCAAAAAAAAAAGCATGTGGTCCTGCAAATCTTAATAGCTCATATGTACCTCATCCGGTTACTGAAAAAAAATCTCCGAAAAGATAATTTTTTTTGAACCACTCAAAATAAAATTTAGTAGCAAATATGCCGGTAGCAAGATGCCAAGAAATATACCGAAAGTCATCAAATTCCTAGTTAATGAAATACATAGCTTGGCGTACTAAAACGGAAATTAGCAAGTAGTACCAACCAGCATTAACATACACCACCATGTTCATTTCAAATTTTCAGTGCCTCACTAAGACAGACAATAAAGCTGGGATATCATATTTTGTTCAACAGGCTAAAAGAAAAGGAGCTCTTACCGGTTAATCTTGCATATCCACAAGAAGTAACACATCAGTCAGTAAGTGAAGACAGACAATGGCAGAGGCAGCAGTAGTCCTAGCTCTCGGCAAGCTTGTTACCTCTTTTGGAGTATCATCACTAAGGACTTACCTAGAGAAAGAACCCGCACGGCTCCCAGATCTACCATACACTGCAAAGCACATCGAGAGGGAATTAGACATGATCCATCATTTCTTGAGCCAGGTTGGAACAAAAATCTACAGCAATAAAGTTCTTGAAGGCTGGATAGTAAGGGTGCGGAAGGTCGCTTACCGTGTTGAGGACATAACAGATGAGTACAGCTATAACATAGCTCTTGAACATGAAAACCATTTTAAAAGGTTAATACACAAGTTCTTCTATCCAACTGCTTTTCATCGCATCGCTATTGAGCTTAAAGATATCGAGGAAGAGATCAAGCACTTGTCACAGCTGAAAAGGGATTATCGAGAAATGTTCAATGAATTACTTGACAACACTAGTGATAGTGCTCATATTCATCTCCTGTCATCTAATGGTTCTCCTCATGCCGTTAAAGGAGATGACATTGTTGGGATGAAAGAAGACATGGAGCTGCTTGGCAGATGGCTAGATCCCAAGGAGTTAGATCGAACAGTAATATCAATATGGGGTTTTGGTGGATTGGGTAAAACAACCCTAGTCAGGAAGGTTTATGATTGGGAGAAGGGAATGAAGAGCTTTGACTGTTATTCATGGATTGCAGTATCACATAACTATAACATCAATGCTATATTAAGGCAGTTGATTCAAGAGCTGAGCGAGGACCAAAGCAAAATCCCCACTGATCTTGACACTATGCACCATGGTAAGCTGAATGATGAGTTAAAGGAGGTTTTGTCAAATAAGAAATACTTGATTGTACTCGATGATGTATGGGATACTAGAGCTTTCCATGAGCTATCTGACTCATTGATGGATGATAAGAAAGGAAGTAGGATAATAATCACAACCAGGAATAATGACGTTGCTTCATTGGCTCAAGAAATGTACAAGATGAAGCTTAATCCACTAGGCAATGATGATGCATTTGAACTCTTTCATAGAAGGTGCTTCCAGAAAAGCAATATGGAGTGCCCCTCTCATTTGGAGGAATTGTCTAGGCAGATTGTAAATAAGTGTGGAGGCTTGCCGTTGGCAATTAATGCAATAGGAAATGTATTGGCTGTACAGGAATCAAAAGAGATAGTATGGAGAAGAATAAACAATCAATTCAAGTGTGAATTGGAGGACAACCCTGGCCTAGACAAAGTAAGGAGCGCACTGAGCATAAGCTTCATGTACCTGCCAAGGCATCTCAAGAATTGTTTTTTATATTGCAGTATGTTCCCGCAAGATTATATTTTCAAGCGTGAGCTTCTTATCAAGCTATGGATAGTAGAGGGCTTTGTAATACAGCGAGGTCAGAGTACATTGGAGGAGGTTGCAGACGGCTACTTCACTGAGCTGATCCAACAAAGCATGATGCAACTTGTTGAGAACGATGAGATTGGTAGAGTGGTAAGCTGCAGGATGCATGACATTATGAGGGAATTAGCACTCTCCTTTTCTAGGAAGGAAAGATTTGGTCTGGCGGACATAAACCTTGAAACTCAAAAGAAGGATGATGTTCGCCGGCTGTTAGTGTCAAACTTTGATCAGGTGAATCAGCTGATAAAATCAAGCATGGACCTTCCTCGTCTCCGGACATTCATTGCAGCCAACAGAGTTGCTAATTATCAGTTGTTAACCTTACTAATTTCCAGGTGTAAATACCTTGCTGTTCTAGAACTACGAGACTCACCCTTGGACAAGATTCCAGAAAATATTGGGGACTTGTTCAACTTGCGCTATCTTGGCTTAAGGAGGACACGTATTAAGTCCCTACCAATATCAATTAAAAAGCTCACCAATTTGGAAACTCTGGACTTGAAATCAACTAACATTGAAAGGCTCCCAAGAGAGGTAGCTAAATTAAAGAAGCTGAGGCACATCTTTGCAGAGCAATTGTATGACCCAGAAGAGAGGCAATTGCGTTACTTCCGTGGTGTGAAATTGCCTGACTGTGCTTTTGATTTGGCACAGCTGCAGACTCTCCAGACTGTTGAAGCAACCAAGGAATCGGTGAAGCTACTGAAATACTTGCCTGAGCTGAGGCTTCTGTGTGTCGAGAATGTTTGTCGTGCTGACTGTGCAACACTGTTTTCTTCCTTATCAAATATGAACCACCTTTATGACTTGGTCATCAGCGCCAACGATCTGAATGAACCTCTGGATTTTAATGCTTTCAATCCTATATGTACAAAGCTAGAGAAGCTCACAATCAGAGGATGCTGGGACAATGAGACATTCCGAAGACCAGTGTTCTGTGAGTATGGTGCAAATATCAAGTACCTGACACTGACATTTTGCAAAAATGACACCAATCCACTCCCATCAATATCATCAAGCGTGCCAAATCTGATATTTTTGAGCATACGCAGGGGATGTTGGGCTGAGGACATAATTCTCCGTGCAGGATGGTTTCCTCAGCTGAGGACTCTTTGGTTGGGAAAATTGGAGGAGTTGAGAAGGCTAGTCATTGAGGAAGGGGCCATTATTAGGCTGGAAGTGCTGCTTCTGCTGTCGCTCCCATCCCTCAGGGAGGTTCCTAAAGGTTTGGAGCTTCTTGCATCCCTCAAGAAGCTCAATGTCACGATGCAACACCATGAACTCAAGGTAGAGTGGGAACGAGACAACTGGAAAACAAAATTGCATCGTATCCAAGAAATACGTTTCTAAGAAGAGATTATTGGCTGATGCCTGTATTTTTCTTTTTCTTTTTATATGATGCTAGTATGTCTAGCGTTTGCTTGTGTTTTCAGTGTTCACAACAAATTGAAAGAGTGGCTGTTTTGTCTTCTTTTATTGAAACAGAACTCGTCTTGACAATATCTTCAATTTGGTTATTTAACATGGACAGAAAAATGGATAAAACTCCTAACAAAAAAAGTAAGATAGCATAAAACTCTCTCTGCACCATACTCAATATCATTCCGACTTTCTGGCATTTACACCCAAGTAAATTTTGCGGAACATAACTACTAAAAATTACATAGTACTAATACATATTGCAGTTTGCACAATTGCACTTATTAGCAGTCTAGAGCTACACATACTTTGTCAGAGCATTTTAATGTGATGGAATTCAATATGTGGGACTAGGACCCACCTGCAACTGGGAAAACATGTGTAGTAGTATGGTCCCACCGAGTAAAAAAATCAACTTCACTCACAATAAATTGGTAAAATTAAACTTGTACTATGATCAAATAAAGAAGTCAAAATCCTGTAAAAAATGTATGGTAAACAAAAGCATAAAAATAGTTGTGCTTAGTACAGTATGTACATGTACAACAAATTTTTCTAATTCATTTCTCCTAAATTATTTTGAGATTGAAAGAAGAGTTTCTTAATCATATATTTATCTGTAGGATGCAATCTAGAAAAAAAATCTTTCTAGAAAATAGTAGGAAGCAAACTCAAATGCATGCATTTCACAAAACATGCTAACTTTATAAAAGTACCATAAACCTGCACATTTCACAAAATTATACATATTCTGGCCATGTTTAAGATTTCTGTCACATTTAATCGAGAAATGTGGGTTTATCGATAGGCCATAAGAACATGTCTGTAATTTATGTGCAATACATCTTAAGATGTGTTTTTCTCATAGTATCTTCTGTTTGCTAAGATATGCATAGGCTTGCGAAATACTCCCTCATTTTTAAACAAAGAGAAGATAAATCATTCCACTACTGCTCTTCTCATATCTAACCAAATTTCGGTCTTAAGCCACATTCGCAAAGAGAATCCGCATAGACCCTAACCCATCCGAGATGCAGTTCTACGCTAACTCCATAATAACGCGACGAACGCGGACTTTGTGACTTCCTATGAAAATTCAAAAAGAAAAAAAAAAGAAGAGGGGGAAGAAAATGTCACCAGGCGTCGTGCGAGCCGAGCCGATGGAGCCTCCGGCGAATCTCCATCGCCGCCGGCACCGTGCTCTGGCTGACCACTTCGCGCCGCCGCCCTCCGCCTCGCCGCCGCCAGAGGAAGGAGAGGGGAGAAGATGTTGCGGGTGAATCGTGCAGTTTTGGGCCGGGCCCATTACGGCTACATAGGCCTCGACGACCGCCCAATTTGGGCCGGGCCGTGCCGTCCATCCACGAGGCCCGAACTGTAGGACCAGCTCCAGTGGGGGCCCAAGAGAGCGTCTTCCGCAAGAGGGCCCGAGTAACCAATGGGGTTGGGCCCAAAAGCCTACTCACGCCTTAGTCCCAAATCCCAATCTCCGATCCCGAGCACTCGACACCGCCGCCGCCGCCGCGACGACGGCGGAGCTCCGATCCGAGGAGGAGGAGGAAGGGTGGGCCACAGGGGACCGCCGGCGATGTCGGCCGCGGCGTCGGGGGAGCGAGACGAGCTCGCGGATTCGCTCGCGGAGCTCTTCACCAACGTCTCCCTCATGGTCCGCGGCGAGCTCCAGGTCCGTTCGCCCCCACCTCCGCCTCGTCTTTGTATCCATGGACGGCCAAATCGGCGGCCTGAACCCGTAGTTTCTCGCTGGTCGCGGTTGCACGGTGGGCCGTCGTAGAATTCGCCGGCGCCTGCCCTACAATTCTGTGAATCGCAGCAGAGTTGATAACCCTAGAGTGCCAAATTTAGCTATATTTTTCGTGGAATATGCGTTGAATTTATAGTTAGATTGTCTCACCTATATAGTTCAGGTGCTCCAATTGTTATATCCCAATCTGTTTCCCAAGGATGTGTAGCAGTTCCAGTTATCTTGGTATCCCACGATAAATGGGAATGTTCAGAGTTTAGTTATTAGTGTGAACTTCACATGATTGAATTGGGCAATTGGTTGATGCTACTCGCGTGCCACTTCATGGAATTGTTTCACATTTTAGCAGCAAGTCAAAAATCAGCTGAGTTTTTTTAGTCATTCATAGTGTGCCTGACTCAAAGTTTAGCTAGTTGTTGTTTTTTGAGATTGATGAGTGCATCTTTTGCGGCCAAAATGGCATGCACAGTACGGTGGGGAAGGAAGGTATCGGGTGCTATTGCATGAACTCGTATTTCACAAGTACTAACAGACATTGATTCACTCTTCTTTGGCATGTGGAATCAAAACATGCAGAGTTTATGCACAATGATATTGTGAGACCTTTGGTTTGAAGCAACCAGAGGCTATTCACTTGAATTTGGTGTTCCGTGTTGTTGAGAACTGTACTACCTCTCAATTATTCGCTTTCGCCAACAAATTGTTATCATCATTTCAGCAATAAATGAGCTTTTCGACAGCAAAGTTCTTTTGCCGGCATAAGTGTGCATAAATGATATGAAAATGATTACTTCACATAACTTCACCTAATCATGTGGATCCATTAAACATTTAAAGCTTATGGGTTGCTCAATCTGGACTTTGAAGTAAAATATGGCAGTTTTTGTTCACTATGAACTGTGAGTCAACAGTTGAACCTATGCTTAATGTTTAGTGGTGTGGTTATTTATTAGACTTGGGTTTTCATTTGGATCTCATTCACTGCAGGGGACTAACAGCCAGCTTTCTCTACTTGAGAAAATGAATCGACGTGTAGCAGAGGAATACAATAACTATGGAGATGTTGCATCCGGCCTGCGGGTTTTCGTAGAACAACTGAATGAGAAAAACCAAAGCTTTGGTGAGTATGTATCGCAGATTGATGCGATAGACCAGCAGGTGACCGAGTTTGAGGCAGTGGTGTCCATGCTTGATAAGCATGTTTCCCTCTTGGAAAAGAAAGTAAAGTCCGCATATAACATTGCTCCTACCCAATGAATAATCGTTCCTCTCTGTATGTTTCATTTTAATTTTTGTCATATGAGCTTATCTAAGCGAGGTAGAAACCAAACCTGTGGATGAGAATTTGATGCCCGTTATCTCTGATGTTTCCAACACATGTATAGTAGCATGGTGCTAGCCAAGTTGTGATGTTTCAGGCATTTTGTTGCTAGTTGCTACAGCATCGACAAATGACAAATTGCCACAGTGTAAGATTTGTTCTCATTGCCCTATTTGTTGTGATCATGTTCAGTGTTAGGAAAATGGTGTGTGGACCAGATCTGTGAGAAAAACTCTGAAGAAATTGGCTGATGAAAATGTGCACATTCCAACCCAGATTCCTGCACATTTTCAATTCATGGAATCCATTGTCATGTGGAGGCAGTGTGAGTTGAGAATTGCTGTGGCCAAACTGTCATTATCATCCAGCACAGGGTAATTTGACCACCATTTGATTACTCCGGGAAACACGTCGGTTTGACCTCGTGTCTTCTGCCCAAATGTCTTACTACTAGTACTCCAATTTAAACAAATTTCTTCGGAAAAACAGGTTAGGTTAGACTTGTTCTTCTAAAAAGGACACTTCCCCATTAGAGAAGTTACTAAATTAATCAAGAAAGGGATTGATTGATTGATTTAACGTAACACTGCAAATAAGCACTAATATGGACTGGGCTTCTTTATACTACTCACACTGACAGTGGGACCTAGCACAGCTGTGGCCCACCTGTCAGAGGGAGTGGGCCCCGATTGCTACGGGATTAAATTAATTAATTAAGCAGGGAGAAAAGCATCTCTTTGTCGATAATGGTGAGGCCTCCACGGGGGTAGGCAGCCTTGCGTTCCCTCCCCATAATCTCCACCTTATCCAGCGCATCTTCTGCAGGATTGGCCCCTCTGCTTTTTCAGAATTGCACCATGATGGTGTCGGCCGTCTGTTGCTGCTGTTTGTTCTTAATTAGGATCATGGACATGTCGACCCACTCTTTTAGAAAAGAAAATTAATGATGCTCTTGTGGTTGCACTTGTCACTAATTAACTTAAGTAATTAATAACCACATGTATTTGTGAGTGCTTTATTTATGAATTTGTAAAGATTTGCAATGATAAATGTCATGATCCAATACATGGTTACAAGATAATCATGTTAGGTGAACTGTAAGGAATTGCGATAAGAGTTTCCACGTGTGTTTAATTGGTCCATCTTCTATTGGTCAAAAACTCATACTCCTTCCGTTTCAAAATGTTTGACACCGTTGACTTTTTAAGTACGTGTTTGACTATTCGTCTTATTCAAAAAAATTTAAGTAATTATTTATTCTTTTTATATCATTTGATTCATTGTTAAATATACTTTCATGTACACATATAATTTTACATATTTCACAAATTTTTTTTAATAAGACGAACAGTCAAGAATGTGCTAAAAAGTCAACGGTGTCAAACAGTTTGAAACGGATGAAGTACTAAGCATGTATGGGAATGGCATGTTTCCAAGTGTGGAGGGAATTGAGATGATAATGATGATGGAATGTGCACGTTGAATAAAACTGCAGATAATTGGGATTCATGTTATGATCATATCTATCATTTATGTCTTCTTGGAGTGAATTTGGTATTCATAATTCAGTCTTAGCGTGCGCATGAGAACTCTCCGAATATAAAGCGGTAGTTGATAAATGCAAATATAATGTGTAATAACTGATGAGTTTCAGTTTAAACAAGGTGCATATGAAGCAACATTAACGCTAGGTTTTTATCTGTTTAAGCCGGTATGAATTTAACCACACAACTAAAAACAAGCCGTCGCTTTGCATTTTCTTTCACATACAAACATATTGGCGAAGGATCACACCAAAAATCTATGGAGCCACTCATACTAAATCATCCCATTATACATAACCATCAAGCTCTCAAACTTTATTAACACAATATCTCCAGCCTTTTCTAGATAATAGTAATGATCATACAAATAAAAACAAACCATAACTTTACACCTTATTAAAAAAAAGAAACACTGCTACAGATAGCATACAAACATGCTGGCAAAGGATAACACCAAAATCCCATGGATCTATTTGCACCAAATCATCCAATTATACCAAACCATCAAACCATTTTTTCTAGTTCCAACTTTTTTTTTGTTGGTTGTTGGGATGAACCTTTTCTTTTCTTGAAATTAAAAACCTCAACAATTAACCACCCACAAACCGCCCCCTTTCCTCCTCCTCCTCCTCCTCCCCCTCCTCCCCTTTGCATCCAAAAAAACCAAAACGAAACGGAAACGCGCTCCCCTCCTCCTCCTTCCCGTCGTCGCCTTCTTCCCCTCTCCGCCTCTCCGCCTCCGCCTCCTCCGCCTCGGCGCAAACCCTAACCCTAACCCTAACCCTACCAATCCTCCTCCTCCGATGGGAGCCGTCACCTCGACGGTCGCGGCCCGCTTCGCCTTCTTCCCGCCGAGCCCGCCGTCGTACGGCGCCGAGGCCCCGCCTCCCCCCGCCGCGGCGGGCGCGGGGGTGGGGGTGGAGAAGGATGGAGGGGGAGGAGGGGTGGTGGTGGAGCTGACGGATGTGCCGAGGAGGGGGAACGTGGAGGCGAGGCGGCTGCGGACGAAGCGGGGGACGGAGGTGGTGGCGATGTACGTGCGGCAGGCCGGGGCGCGGCTCACGCTGCTCTACTCGCACGGCAACGCGGCCGACCTGGGCCAGATGTTCGAGCTCTTCGTCGAGCTCAGCGCCCACCTCAACGTCAACCTCATGGGGTACGTGCGCGCGCGCCCCGATTGGGTGGATTGCCTTTTTAGATTGGGAGATGCCGTGCTCTGTCGCCCTCGTGGATTCGAGTTCTATCTCGGATCTTCCGGGTGGGGCGTATTTTCCTGGATCAAAGGCTCGAAGCTACGATTTTCTAGGATTAGTTAGTATTGGGAACGTTAGATTTTCCGGGCGGATCAGTAGGATGGCTGTTTTGTAGTTTCGACGGATGCCGCTAGCTTCTCTTCATCAGGGCTCGTTCGATTAGGTTGATGCTTTGGTGTGATGTTGATGTTGAATAGTGTTCTGTGCTGTAGGATTAGGATTCGCAGGCTGTAAGTCTCTGATTCCATGTGAATTTTTTGACTCATGATCTCGTGTGTTCTGTTGCATCTTGGCATGTATATTTTGTGTTTGCTAATGGGGTTATCTGATCATTTTTCTTTTTCCCTTGAAGCCGATCTTTTTAATGATTGATTGGGATAGCTTCTTGTGTTCGAATTGTTATCTACTCTTGGTGATGTAGATGGTGAAGCATGTCCACTTAGGTGAAATTTTTTGACTTTTTATTGATCTTGGGTAGCAAGAATGATATTGATAAATCGCTATCTGGTTCTGTACGGGTATTTCATGAATCGCTTTTTTCTATGGGAGACGGTGGGGAGCTCGGTGCTTTTGGATACTTGATTTGTTACTATCTTAGGTCATAATTTGAAGCTTTGGATAATTTTCTTCAATTAATTGTTAGATATTAACATTTAGCTGAGTTTAATCTACTGTTTCATTAGATTTGTTAAACAATGGCTGTAGTGAAAAGAAAATGTTTGCAATGAAGGTTTGGTTGAATTATCGTGTACATGAAATTGTACCGTTACTTATTAATAAAGTGTGTTGAGGAAACCAATAGTTAACAAATCTTTTCACTATATTATTACATGCATTCATTTTCTTCCCTCTTGTAGCTCTTATAGAAGAGTTAATGTCAGGGTTGCCATCTGTCTTTGGTAACCTCCATATTGTTCTGCAAATGTCCGGTCATGGCCTTGTGGGTTCTCTGCGAGAACATTCAAACAGTTGAGTAATTTGTGTCAGTACTGCTGGGTACCCAGAGGTAGAGAAGAGATAACACAAATCACCATTCTGTTTGTTTGTTTGCTTCTGTTCTTTGGTCCAAGTTACTTGATACATTGGATGAAGGGACCTTTGCTCTTTTCTTTATTGTGTTTCCTTGCCAGATTACCTTTATTGTGGTGGAAATTATGCTGTGAAGGTTTGGCCTAGTGAATTGTTAGATGATGTGTGGTCTGGTTATTGGCGTTGCTGATGGGAGAACCATTGATTGATTCAGTGGATCTTGCAGCTCTAACTAATTTTATATTTTGTGGTTAGGAGTAATTGGCTTGTCCTTTCCTCCTTTTTTAACTTCGCCTTTTTGTTTGTTTCCTAGCATAGATACTAATATAATCGTTATTTGTTTGTCTGTGTATAGCTATGTCATTTGTCTGTTGAACCTAGTTTTGTGCTTTTTATGTGCTCACTACTTTTTACCAAGACTATGCATGTGTACTAGTTGCTAGTATTTGACTGCGTAATGCAGTTCTAGGCCACCATAGAGGCTCCTGCTAACATGGTCCATGATGACTAAACTAACAACTGATGTAACCATTTATGAGGCTATAGTTTTAGTCTTAAGTGATCAATCCGTTCCTTGCCAGCTTATATGGTTGAGTGTTGCATCTATAACTCCATGTTTTACTCCTAATGTAATATTAGCACCTTGCACAAGGAAAGTTTCACAACCCACAACTAGGAGGATATATCAAATGAAGCCACCTGACATCACTCGATGAGCTTCTTCTTTTAAGGCTTATTGTAGCTCTAAATTAATACCTTCCGTCTTCATTCTGCAGCTATGACTATTCTGGTTATGGGCAATCTTCTGGGAAGGTAAGATTTTTGTATACACATATTTTATGCCGAATCTCTTTGATGTGCATAGTATTAACCTTTTATTTTTTATCTAATACCGCAGCCCAGTGAGCACAACACTTACGCTGATATAGAAGCCGTTTACAGATGTCTTGTAGAAACCTATGGAGCCTCCGAGGAGAATATCATTCTTTATGGACAATCAGTGGGTAGTGGTCCTACTTTGGATTTAGCCTCCCGTTTGCCTCATTTGAGGGCAGTTGTTCTGCATAGCCCAATTTTATCTGGCTTAAGAGTGATGTATCCTGTAAAACATACATACTGGTTTGACATATACAAGGTAATTAATTTGCATTATGTCAACCTTTTTTGACACTTAACTTTAGTTAATTCTGTATTTTATCTCTATTTCTGCAGAATATTGACAAAATTCCATTAGTCAGATGCCCTGTGTTAGTGATTCATGTGAGTACCATTTCATCCTCACAGCAAATCTTATTATTATTATATATATTTGATTCTTTTTGTGCATGGCGTGCATGTGCTCATGCACTTGTTTGTATGTTCACATAGTGAATTAAATCATTGGAATATGAAATCAACAACAGTTATATGTATGTTCCTCATATATGTACACTGGTGCATGGTGATAATTGTAATGTTACATAAGTGAAGTTTAATGAAGCAGTTCTGGTGATTTAACTACCAATTGGACCATTCTTTTATTGACCTACACCCTAGCCTTTAGTTTATTTTTTTCCTGTTATTTTTTAGTGCCGTTAGTGTGCTTATGTGACAGAAGCAGTGCTAGCAATGCATTTAAAAAGATGGCATGGAAACTAAATGTGAATGCCTGTAGAAGTTTTTTCAGTTCACTGAGATGAAAAAACTGGCAATTGAGGGCAACATATTCTGAAAACACGGGACAAGTATTCTGTTAGCAGCATCAGCTTTATCATGACTACCGCTTGCTACATTATTTTACTTGGCAACAGATTTATGATGTGAGAAAGAACCTATTCATTCTAATCAAGATGTAGAAGAAAGTTGATGATGCTAAGGTACTAACACAATCTCTTTTCCCAGGGTACAGCTGATGAAGTTGTCGACTGTTCCCATGGGAGGGCATTGTGGGAGCTTTCCAAAGTAAAGTATGAGCCTCTATGGGTCAAAGGAGGAAACCACTGTAATTTGGAACTGTACCCAGAGTACATTAAGCATCTAAAGAAGTTTGTTGGGGCCATTGAAAAATCGCCACCCCTATATGATGAATCTCCAGAGAGCTCAGGTCCATCAGATAATACTCAAACAAACCCTGAAGGCACAGAGGAATCTAGGAAAAGCACAGACTGCAGGGAGAAAACAAGGCCAAGCATAGATCACAGACAAAGCACAGATCGCCGGGACAAATCAAGGGGCAGCACAGATAGGAGGGATAAAAACAGAAAGAGTGTGGACCAACCACGGGCTAGTGTCGATCAGCCTGATCGGCCAAGGAAAAGCGTTGACCGGTATGGTTACCTTGTTGACCTATGATTTTCTTTTTCTTTAAGACCATAATGCTGTGTATGTATCAACTATTTCTACAGGGTTGATATATAACATGTTTTCTTGACTAATTTGATCCATGGTGTAACAGCTTTGGTGGGGTGATGAAGTCCGTCAGATATATCGACTGTTTCAGAGTAACAACTGCATCTGGGAGCTGAAGAAAAATATATATACCAAAAAGGTTAGCGTTGGGGTTCTCTGTATGTAGTCCATTTGTATAACTTAATTCATTCGGGTGATTGGTTTGGTCGTTGGAGGCGTGTCTCACTACAATGGGGGGGACTTGTATTGTTTTTCTTGATTTTTTTCCAATATGAAATAATTATTTGTCCATAAGCATCTTCTTTTTCTTTTTCCCCAAGTGGTTGATACTTGATGCTTCATAAGAGATGTGCCTGCAGGAAAGTAAGCGATCCGTGATAAGCAAACTCTCTCGGTTGCCATTTATCTTGTGATACTGGAGATCGTTTAGTTTGCTGTAGTTGTGGTGGCCTCCTGGAGCCCTGGTTACGGTTGTTGATTGGAACAGTGCTAACTTCTGCCAAATACAGCAGTTAAATTTGACAGAAGATCGTTGATCGTGCAACTGGCAGACTGATGGATCGGAGCACCCTGTGCAACTGGTTTCCATGGCAATGGGCCAATGATCATCTTCCAGCTTGTTTTACGGGGAAACACCCATTTCTGCTTAATTTGTCTGTGAAAGTCTGAAGTCGTGACACCGTGTTTGTGGTGGTATTTTATGCGTTGTGGTCATTTTTATGACATAATTCCAGTGAGCTAAGAGCTTCACGCCGTGTTTGACAAATGCCACAAATGCTTGTTGCTATAGTTTTATCTGCGTAATATGCTTGGAAGAGCTGAAGATTAGACACAGACCGGCCGTCTTTTCCTGACACCTGTTATAGCAAAAATGCGTTGCTTCCTTTCAAAATAAAATAAAATAAAATGCGTTTGGTTCGTTTTCTCGTCCTCGAAAGCTTGGTTGGATTTCCATAGGCCTACCCGTTCTGTTACAGCAGACGCTCCCCAGGCCCCAGCAGGGTGTGTTCTTTACTCCATCTTTCCAATTTTTGCTCTTAGTTTTTTGCATGCACGTTTTCCAGACCGCTAAAACTTGTGTTGTTTAATCTATATATGTTTCAGTATTTATAGCAAACACTTCATCAATCATGTGCTAATTCATCATTCCGTTTTACGTGTCCGAGGGGAAGGCTATTCATGATTTTTTTTTTCAGATATTATTCGTAGGAATACATCGAGTTTCAAGCTTAAAAAAACTATATTCTAAGATACTACATAATTACACCGTAGTTACAATGTAATTTTAGTATTGTTACATTGTAACTTTTAGTAAATATAACGTGTTGTTGGATTTTATTGCCAAATAAGACTATAATTAAAGTTACAATATAATTATATTATAGTTATACTATAATTACATAATAGTTACACTGTAATTATATTATAATTACAGTGTAACTTTCAAGTATATATATGTTGGTACTAATATTTTTGTTTTAAATTAGGAAATAAATACAATGCAATATAATAATCTATTAAAATACTCCCTCCATCCCAAAATATTTGACGCCGTTGACTTTTTTAAAATGTTTGACCGTTCGTCTTATTCAAATAATTTAAGCAATTATTAATTCTTTTCCTATCATTTGATTTATTGTTAAATATACTTTTATGTATACATATAGTTTTACATATTTCATAAAAGTTTTTGAATAAGACGAACGGTCAAACATGTTTAAAAAAGTCAACGGCGTCAAACATTGGAAAGAGGGAGTATGTCAAGTAAACAATAGCTAGTCCAATCCTATAATTGAAAAAACGTGTGAGCTTTAACAAAAAAAATCTGTCGAGTGATAGCTAGCTAGTCCCTTTTATTTTTGAAACCTTTTGGAAAAAAAAATTCCCACCGATATTTTCCGTTTCCAAATACGTTCGAGAAACCCAAAAACTTTCCGAAACGTTTTATCCCTAACCCAAACTGTGTGATCTATCAAGAGTGTAGTCTGAACCGAGGATGATGAGAAGAATGTGCCGCCAACATCATCAGGTCAGGAGGATCGATGGAGGAGTCCACCTGGACGGCGCGCGGCCACCGACGGCCGGCGCCCTGATCGGATCCGCCGCGCACGCCCTCGTGTCCCCCCTGCCTCCAAATTCCAAAACCGTCGCGCGACCGACCGTGCGCCCACGTCCTGCAATCAACCAGCCAAATTTCACTGCCTACCCAAACCAAATTTCCAGTTTGCTACAGCCTAGCTAAGCTGCGTTCTTCAGCAGCGCAAGTTTAGAAAAAAAAAACTCACTTATTTTTCACGGGCGCTTTTTAACAATTAAATATTAAAAGGTGTGTAGTATTTTACCCAAAAGAAATTATAAAAATATGATTTAGAAAAGAAAACCATATTAATCGATTTTAAAGTTTAAAATAATTGATACATAATTGATCATACATTAATAGCTTATGATTTATCTCGTTTTATTTATCTTCTTGTTCTTCTTCTTTCCTCTCCTCTCAACCATATATCCATCCAGTTTCGCTGAGTGGAAAGGAGATGAGGGAACGAAATGACGGCAGGCAGTTAGTAACCACAAACTAAAAACACCACATAGTACTACGTGATATGTACATAATGGCAATTATTATAAACATTCAAGATACCACATAAGCTTAAATAGAGAGGTAAAATAAGAGAGATAACCCTTACACAAAATTCAAGATAAAAGGAGAGAGAAAGAGTAGATTGACCAAATAAATATTAGGACTAGTAGTATATTAGAATTAGTATATTTATTAGTTATCTCTTTTATAAAATTTGCCTTAAGTGTATTTCCAATTTGGAATTTGTCATCCCTGTTCTCAAAAAAAGAAGAGAGAAGAATTTATGATCCCTTTCAGAAGACCGAGTTGACTGTGTCTGTCTGTCGGTCGGTCGGTCCGTTTGAACAGAGCTGTTACTTTCGTTGCATCCTACTTGTTCGTATACATAGGGCCTGTTTAATTCTCAAACAAAATTTTTCACGCTGTCACATCGAATGTTTGGACATAGGCATAGAGTATTAAATATAGAAAAAAACAAAATCAATTACACAGTTCATCAAGAAATTGTGAGATGAATTTTTAAGCCTAATTGCGTCATGATTTGACAATATGGTGCTACAGCAAATATTTACTAATAACAGATTAATTAGGCTTAATAAATTCGTCTCACAGTTTCCTGGCGGAATCTGTAATTTGTTTTGTTATTAGACTACGTTTAATACTTTAAATGTGTATCTGTATATCCGATGTGATATGTAGGGTTAAAATTTTTTACCAAACCATAACCATAAAAAATGCACACTACTACTACTTACTATTTAGTGCAGCAATATTTGATTCTTTCGTAGAAGTATCGATCAGAGAGCACCTAGGCAGCCCTGGTAATCTCTCATCTTCGAATTTCAACGTCCTCTCCTCGTGACCAGCACGTACGGTACACTAACACTACTCTGTACCATCACACTAGCAGTACACATGCTTCATCTTGGAATCAATCCATGATGATTAGCACCAACAACCAAGCTAGAGCCGTCAACGAGCCGAGCTCACCTGCTGGCCTTCAGCTCGAGCTTTCAGTCAGGCTTGGTTCGTGCTCGATCGAGCTCGAGCTCAACTAATAAAGTTGGCTCATAAGTACTTCCTCTATTTCATATTATAAATCATATAACTTTTTCTTTAGTTAAAATTATTTATGTTTGATCAAGTTTACATAAAAAAATTATATCTATAACACAGATTAATTTAACATTGAATAAATTTTGATAATTTGTTTGTTCTATATTGAAAAAGTTAATGTATTTTCTACAAACTTAACTAAACTTAAAAGATTTGGATTTAAGAAAAAAAGGTCGAACGACTTACAATAACAAATGGAGGGAGTAGTATATACATATATTTTGAGGATAATCTCTCCATAAAAATAGTAATTTCTATTTAATTATATTGATAAATAAGAAGAAAAATAAATAAGATAAATATATGATAATGACACCAATACACGCTATTTGGATACATATTAATGGTATACTAAATGGTATATTTGATCCACTAGTTTACAATAAGAATTCTAGAGCTAGAGTCGAGGTAGAGCAGCTTGCGAGCCTTGAGCTTTTCTTTTTTTACCGCCCTACACCAAGCCCTCGTCACCGGATCGAGGAGAACACCATGCATATGCATGTGTTCTTCCAATTGCCACCGACACAGCAACGACGGCTACTTGTATATATTACCACAACATGCAATCGATCGATCCATGCATCGGTTTACCTTCCTTCGTTCTCACGGGATGCCATCTGCTACACTTACTTGCTCACTACGTGTTACGCTTCGATCACCTCGTATTAAATCGATTGATTAATCAGCAGCAATGGCTTAATTAACTCACGGTTTCAGAGCACACCCACAGAACCGAATCATCGGAAGGATTACCCAACTGAATTTTCAATCTCATCGGAAGCCACGACTTGATCGCAGAATCTTCAAATCCAAGCAATGGCAGCAGCAGCAGCCTCTCGGAGAGATCGAGGCACCTTTCTTTTCTTACAGTTTTCAACGACATCTTCGGTAACAGCAGCTTGACAAATGACTAATCGACAGGCCTACGCTTAGCCCCAAATGAGCAAGTGGTAATTAGCACCTAGCTACTTCCTCCGTTTCACACTGTAAGATTTTCTAACATTGTCCACATCCGGCATATGTATGTGTCTAGATTTATTAACATCTATATGTATGTGGACAATGCTAGAAAGTCTTACATTGTAAAACATAGAGGGAGTACATCAGTGTAAACAAGTGCAAGAAAAAGTACAGGTGCAGTATTAGTAGATGCATGGGCACGCTCAACTTTGACCAATCGTTTGCCTCTCTTCATCTGACCTGACGATGAACTCCTCCACGTCTATATATAAAACCACCACTGTCTTTTCAGTATTGCTTTCTCTCTTCTCCTCTCTTCGTTGTGATAGTAGTATTTATACCTGAAGTCAGATTCAGAGATTTTTCTGGAGACTAGATTCAGAGTTCAGAGGTTGGTAGGTAGTTTAGGTAGTAGGTTTGTTAGTTATGCAGCAGCTGAACTGGGTCAGCCTGTTGCTCTTGCTGTTCTTCATGGTTGCTGCACTCAGCTCCTTCGTTGCCACTGCACACAGAGGTAGATCATCAGCATTTTCAGGCAAAACTTCCCATTTCTGAGCCATTTGGTCTTTGTTGCTCGAAGATTGTCACTCACAAAATTATCACTGTCTCTTTTCAGAGCTGCCAATGGCAAGAAAAGTCGATGAAATTGGAGACCATCTTCAGGCCAAGCTGGTAAGTTCAGTAAAACACCTTGTGCTCTTGAGGATTTGAGATGGATCGATGAACAGCAGTGTACTTATCTGAGGTTTAACTTGCTGAATTTTTTTTGTGTGACAAGCAGGATAATCAAGCTAGCTCTGTCAGTGTAACCAGAGCAACGGCGAAGGCTGAACATGATCATCAGGAGGCTGTCATGAGGAAATGCAAGAACGGGAGGAAGAACTGCAAGAATTTCAGAACAAGAAAGCTTCCTGCAGATGCAGATGGCAAGATCCATTTCGATGGCCACATGCCATTCACTGCAGATTACCACTCAGTTCGTCGGCATCCTCCCAGTCACAACTAGGAGTTAATCTTAACACTACTAGTACCAGCTAGTTGCTTTGCTTAGAAATATATATACAGTAATTAAGTAGCCTAATTTAATCAGTAGTGACAGTCCATATAGCTAAGCTGTAGTATCAATTCTTCTTTCCTTTCGTCCTCGGATGGTCATCACTGTCAGGCTCTCAGCTTCCAGTTAGCATTGCATGGCTTTGCTCTTTGCTTTGCTGACATTTTTGTTAGTTAGCAAGAGTAGCTCACAGTGATGGCATGTCACCACCCTTGATGTTCCCTAATTTAAGCTGTTAATCCATCAAAGTTAAAAAAGATGTATCTCTTCTCTCTTTGTTCCTTGGTTTTCCCTCTAATCACAGAGCCAGCTCCCGGGCATGTCGGACGGTCACCTTAACTCGCTATCACCATACATCATGGTTAGCTCCTTAATAAAGCCCCATAAAAATTGCCAATAATAAAAGTTACTCCGTTGTCCGGGCTTGACGAGGTCGCTGGCTTCGCCATGGCTGGCTTTTCTTCCTACCATGGGTCCATAGAGCAGACACGTGTCATGCTCTCCTTCTCTCACTTTCAGCTTAACTACTGATATTTCTTTTTTTGCTTGCCGGCCATGGAAGCCTTTTTGCTGGTACATATATAGGCTGATGTGGACTCTCGTTGTGTACATACATTTGCTCGGATTATATTTAAAATCTCGTTTCTATTTAACTATTTTTCATGTGTTGTCCAGGCATAAGTTGCCACGGATATTTGGACGGCTTGAAATGTGACAGTAGTGGCAGCTTTGGCCTAAGGTGTATTTAGTTGGGGAAAAGGAAATTTTTAGGTGTCACATCGAACGTTTGATCGGATGTCGGAAAGGGTGTTCTGACATGAATGAAAAAAAACTAATTTTAGAACTCACCTGGAAACCGCGAGACGAATCTTTTGAGACTAATTAAGCTGTCATTAGCACATGTGGGTTACTGTAGAACTTATGGCTAATCACGGACTAATTAGGCTTAAAAGATTCGTCTCGCGATTTCCCCTATAACTGTGCAATTAGTTTTTCTTTTTATCTATATTTAATGCTTCATGCATGTGTCAAAGATTCGATGTGATGTTTTTGGGAAAAAAATTTAGGAAATTAAACGGGCCCTAAAACGATTGAACTTTTCTACTCTGTGTGTGTCTTTGTCCTCACCTTGGGTCGCACTTTCATAGGATCTACATGTGGAATCCACAACTAGCTTTTTCACAAGGCTATCCTTTCATCTTTTGTGTCAACACATCTAAGAGAGATTTTTTCTTATTTTTTGAACTTATTTATTTTTTTTATTTTAAAAATAAACCATTCTAAAACTTATTCTCAGAATCTAAACATTTTAGTCACGCCAGTTCACCTAACGTGAGAAAATAATACTGACACGCCACACACTAGGCGTGACAATTTTGTTCTACCATGCTACCGAGGTAACATGGCTAAATAACACTGCCACGCCAGCCAGATCGACGGGACCAAATAACACTGTCACGCCAACTGCCAGGCTACCGTGACAGTGTTGTTTTGCCACGCTAGTTCGGCTGGCGTGAAAAGAAAAGTTCAGATATTGAAAATAAGTTTTAAAAGGGTTTATTTTTAAAATTAAAAATTAGAAACGTTCAAAAATTTTTAAAAAAATCCTCTTAGAAAAACACAGTAGTTCAATTTTTTTTTAAAAAAAACATCTTTGGGCCTGTTTAGATCCATTTGGAATGGTAAATGGCAAATGATAAAAGTTTTGGTAGCAAAAGTTTTGACATTGCAAAAGTACTAGTTGGTGTTTAGATGCATGTTAAAGTTTTGCTATTCTAGCACTAAAGTGAGAGAGAAAGAGAGAGGGAGTGGTCCCAAAGCACTTTTTAGCACAATTTGCTACTATGGACTAGCAAATTCCAAATGCCAAATTACCAACTTTTGCTACTAGTGTTTAGATCCAAAATGGCAAAACTTTTGCCATTTTGGAGGATCTAAACAGGGCCTTTGATTATAATAGACATTTGGGGAAAAAAAATCATATAATCCAAACAGGACCATCTAACTATTGGAGGTCTAATAACTAGAAGTAACTTGAAGCCAATTGGGTTGAGAATATCAGGATTTGCTGAAGTCGTAATTTGACTACCGACCAATCATTGATAACTGCACGGTTATTATCGCTTCAGTTTAGTAGAACTATATACCGAATTCTATCGAATCATTACCGTATTTGTATCGAAATTTGCAATTTTTCAGAATTACACCGTGGTAACCAAAGTAGTAATTAATTATTGTCGGTTTTTGTGGACGATGTTGAAAATTCCTATGTTTCAAATAGGACCGAACACGTTTAAAATGAACACTAAATTTTGACACGGTTAACTTGATAGGTGCCTTCAACCACCGTTCCGTAGGATATTTGTTTAGCCAAGTCTTAACAGCATGCACGGATAGAGTTGTAGCAAGTTCCTTCTTTCTCTGATAAACTGCTAGTAAAGCTGAAAATACGTAGGATCGAACCATTTAATGGTTTTGTACAATCATAATTAATGAAAAAAAGGGGAAAAGAGTCCGCTGCTTCAATTAGAAAAGGAAAAAAGTCCAAATCCCCCTAAATTATGCCCCTAAATCCATCTAGCCCCTCAAAAATATCAAACCAGGTATAGCTCGCTAAACTAATTTATAATTTGACCCGTTTAACGCACAAGTTATTTTGCGAGTTGGTTTTATACATCCGGCATGCTGACTCAACCGTATTTGCCACATTATGATTCTGATTGGATATCTACGAATGAGACTATCCAAAAAGCATATAATATTTTCATTGCATAATAAGTTTGCTAAGATACTGATTCACAATGTAAGTTATTTTAGTATTTTTCACATTCATATTGATGTTAATAAATCTAAATTAACATCAATATGAATGTGAAATTCATTAACATTAATATGAATATGAAAAATACCAGAATGATTTACATTGTGAAACAAGGAAATATATAGCTAAGAATTATTACGTTTTAGGACCTGTTCAGCAGAGTTCCCATTCTAAAATTCCATAATAAGTTGGCATGCAAAATTGCAAGAAGCCAGGTAGTTGGGAGAAAGTGGGCACTGAATCACTGTTCAGTGTTCAGTGGCGCCCCCCTACCACTCTCCCTGACCTCGCGGCCGCCCCACCCGCAATAAGAGGAAGAAAAGCTTATCAGGATTGCACGGCGATTCCCCACCTCCCGCGCCACGCCGCGCCGCCATGGCCACCACCGCCCTCCTCCTCCGCGCCCACCCCTCCTGCAAGCCCCCTCCCCCTCCCTCGCCGTCGCCGCGCCCCACGCGCGCGCTCGTCTGCCGCGCCGCCGCCGCCGGCGAGGCGCTGCGGTCGCTGGCCCCGCCGTCACGCCCCGAGCTGCTCTCCCTCGACCTCCCCCGCTACGACCCCGCCCGCTCCACCCCCGTCGACCTCGCCGTCGTCGGCGGCGGCCCCGCCGGCCTCGCCGTCGCGCAGCGCGTCGCGGAGGCGGGCCTCTCCGTCTGCGCCATCGACCCCTCCCCCGCCCTCGTCTGGCCCAACAACTACGGCGTCTGGGTCGACGAGTTCGACGCCATGGGACTCTCCCACTGCCTCGACGCCGTCTGGCCCTCCGCCACCGTCTTCACCCACGACGACGGCGCCGCCAAGTCGCTCCACCGCCCCTACGCCCGCGTCGCCCGCCGCAAGCTCAAGTCCACCATGATGGACCGCTGCGTCGCCCATGGCGTCACGTTCCACAAGGCCAGGGTCGTCAAGGCCGTCCACGGCGAGGCATCCTCCCTCCTCATCTGCGACGACGGCGTCGCCGTCCCGGCCACCGTCGTGCTCGACGCCACGGGGTTCTCCCGGTGCCTCGTCCAGTACGACAAGCCGTACGACCCGGGGTACCAGGTCGCCTATGGCATCCTCGCCGAGGTGGACGGACACCCGTTCGACATCGACAAGATGCTGTTCATGGACTGGCGCGACGCGCACCTCCCCGAGGGGTCCGAGATCAGGGAGCGCAACCGCCGCATCCCGACGTTCCTCTACGCCATGCCCTTCTCCCCGACGAGGATCTTCCTCGAGGAGACCTCCCTCGTGGCGCGCCCGGGCCTCGCCATGGACGACATCCAGGAGCGCATGGCGGCGAGGCTGCGCCACCTCGGGATACGCGTCCGCGCCGTGGAGGAGGACGAGCGGTGCGTCATCCCCATGGGCGGCCCGCTCCCGGTGCTCCCGCAGCGGGTCGTCGGCATCGGCGGCACCGCCGGGATGGTGCACCCGTCCACGGGCTACATGGTGGCGCGCACCCTCGCCACTGCGCCCATCGTGGCGGACGCCATCGTGCGCTTCCTCGACACCGGCAGCGGCGACAGCGCGTTCGCCGGCGACGCGCTGTCGGCGGAGGTGTGGAGGGAGCTGTGGCCGGCGCAGAGGAGGAGGCAGAGGGAGTTCTTCTGCTTCGGCATGGACATCCTCCTCAAGCTCGACCTCGACGGCACGCGGCGATTCTTCGACGCCTTCTTCGACCTGGAGCCGCGCTACTGGCACGGCTTCCTGTCGTCGAGGCTCTTCTTGCCGGAGCTCGCCATGTTCGGCCTCTCCCTCTTCGCCAAGGCCTCCAACACGTCGCGCCTCGAGATCATGGCCAAGGGCACCGCCCCTCTCGCCAAGATGATCGGCAACCTCATCCAGGACAGAGATAGGTGAGGTGAGGATCTGCATCATCTCTCATCTCAAGATCTGCATTTGGATCACTGAATTTTGCTGCTGCTGCTGCTGCTGCTGCTGCTGAATGTATCCAAGATTTGCAAAGATGAGAACACCATTAGCAGCAGCAAGCTAGGAGACAATCCATCCAGGAGATGAAGTGTGTGAGTTGAGTAACAATTGCTGCTGCAAAACACACTCTTTTTTAAGCCTGGTGATTACAAAATTTGAGCTGTATAGTTCATATTTGAGGTATGATGATGTGCCTCTCAATGTACTGTATAAATGTCATGATGTCAAACACACAGATCAATATTTCCCCAGACATATGGTAAAATTTTCACCTACATACTTCCTCTGGATTGATAATACTTGCCCTTTTGGATAAGGGCACGGTCTCCAAAAAGTAATTTTGGCAACTATTTTCTATTATAATATATATAGAAATATCAACAAATATATGATTTTATTGAAGTACTTTTTAGGACTAATCTACACATATGGTTTTTATATTTTTAAGATAAATATTTTAGAAATTATTTGTAGTCAAAGATTTTAAAGTTTGAGGCTGTTCACTTTGACGTCATTTTCTACCATACCATTTTTTTTTGACAAAGTAGCCAAAAGAGTGCCTACATTTAGTTTGTTGCTAAATTTTAGTACACACATAAAAAATCCTACCAAAATTTGGTAATATTGCCAACATTGCCAAAATTTTAGTATTGCCAAAATTTGGTAAGGTTTATTTTGGCATCAAAGTGAACAGCCCCTTTGACTTTACCCTTGTCCAAAACGAATAATATTATCAGCCCGGAGGGAGTAGCACAGAACAATCAATAACACATGTAGTAGTATGAAGTGAAGCTACACAAGAATTCATATGTGGTTGTAGTAGTAAGGTGTAAGAGCTTTGAAGCAATCATCATTAATAACACTTGGTATGAATTAACACAGTTGAGCATGAGCTCAAGGTTAAATCTCTTTTCCATCTTTTTCTCTACCTGTGAATCAGTGACCAACATGCTATACATATGCCATTGATTTAGGCCTGAAGAACAATGACTGGGAAACAAAAAATGAAAAAAAGAAAGGGGGAGAAGAATGAACAAAATTTGAACAATGAAGTACCAAAATTATCTTCTCAAATCCGTTCGACCATGAATCGTGTGATCAACTCGCGTTCACCAGTTCATCTTCATCATATGAGTAGTCCAAAGTTCTTGTAACTGAGCCTCCAAACTGTTTTTTTTCGCCTTGTACCATGGAAGGAACTTCTCAGAAGGAAAGGTCTCTCATGTCGCCTTCGCGTTCAGGGGCTCTGTATGAATATCCCAATTCTTCTCCAGATTGTCGCCTCACTATGCTGGCCCTTTGCATCAGGCGAACAAGTTGCTGAACTACCTCAGACATAGGAGGGCGAAACTCGGGCTCAGGCTGCGCAAAAAAAAAAAAAAATCACAAAAGATGTTCTTAGAATATGCTCCTGGCAGAGGATATTACAAGAAATCAAACTAAGATGCCCAACATCCAGATACTAACAATGTGGTCGGTGTCAGACTACAAGAATCCTACCAAACTCAGCAAGAAAGCTTATGTTACATTCCATTTTGGATTTCATGAAGGTCTCCATGTGTGCTCACTGATTACTATGTACCTATATCAATGTCTAAAGATCTATCACAATGCAAACGCATGAACATACCTGAACACACAGCGCGATTATGTCCGCAAAACGGGAGAGCGATTTAGCAGGGTACATTCCATTTAATGCTGGATCCACCATCTTAGCAAGCGCATCGATATCATGAAGCTGTGGAGTAGCCCATCGAACAAGAGATTGTTCTGATCTCTCTCTAGAACTGCAATATCCATCAGAAGGTCATTTTCAATTTATAAAACGCAATGCACCGGGATTTGAATATAAACTAGAAGCATACCTGTCTAGTGGTTTCCGCCCTGTCAATAGCTCTAACATCACAACTCCAAAACTGTACACATCACTCTTTACGGTATAAATTCCTGACATGGCAAACTCCGGGGCACTGTATCCAAATGAGCCAAACACCTCAGTTGAAACCTGGAATGGCAAACCAAGCATATTCAGTCCATTAATTAACTACTTCTACAGGAGCCAAACAAGGCCATCTGAGAACTTTAGCAACCAGAAGTTTAGAAATGTGGTGGTATGACTGACCTGTCTCTCCGTGTTGGGTGTCAAGGCGGCAAGCCCACAGTCAGATAAATGTGGATTATGCTCTTCATCGAGTAGGATGTTTGAGGACTTAAAGTTTCTATGCACAACAGATGGCAAGCACACCTCATGCAGGTACCTGGGAGAAGGTTTGAAAGACGTTAGAAGTGCCCCTGCTGCTGTAAAACATCAGAAAAGGTGAACAAAAAATGATGTATGATTCATAAAACTTACTCTAGCGCCCGAGCAGTCCCTAGGGCTACCCTTACACGGATGTTCCATGTAAGCTTCCTGCTCAACTCATCAGAGTAGTGCAGCACATCATGCAGTGTTCCATTTCCAATGTACTCATAAACAAGAAGCCTTTGCCCATGCTCAACACAATACCCTGTAAGTGGCACAATGTTTGGATGCCTTAGCCGTGACATGCTCGATACAGCCTCAAGAAAATTGTCTTCTTCCTGCAAGGAAAGGGCTGAACTATCTATCTTCTTAACTGCAAGAACCTGCAATCACAGCACGCAACTCAGTCGCAGTGCATAGCATGACACAAAAATAATAAGAGGGTGAAAAAATTTCAAATATTTTTAGTTTTACTGCCTATAGGAGTAAACAGGCTAAAAACCATCGGGGTTTGGCTGTATGTATAACAGTGTTGCACAGCTGATTCATCCACTGACTAAATTATAAGGTTATGGTTTACATTCCACTTCATGCAACATTCATTTAATATAAGATGCATATTTTACCTTTCCATTGGGGAAATCGGCCTTGTAAACACGACCAAGTGAGCCCTCTCCTAGAAGGGAATCTTGACAGAAGCTATTAGTGGCAACTTGGAGGGAAGCAACAGTATAAGGCGTTGCAGTGATTGGGACCTTTGTCTTTCTCATAGAACCAGTTTTACCATAAATCCTCTCTGGAGTCATTTTCTCAGCAGGTGAGATCTTCATAGTTGCTACAGAAGTATTCTCAGGACTCTGCTCTGGGATTTCCCTGTTAGAAGCTACAGAAGAGAAGGGTGGAAATATGTATTATGAGCAACACAAGTGCATTCCGTTACACGCTGTAAGTTAATGATGTAAAACAGTTCTTAGTTTTGATTGTATTTTCAGAGCAAAGGTAAAATCATCAGAATTCCATATAGATCTATCAAGTACATATGATCCAAGACTTCGAGTTTTAGCTGCCCCTAACTAAATTGACAAACTAAGCTGGTCTCATGCAAATGCCTGACTTGAAATATACTAAAAGTGGGGTCTCAAATATACATGATTTATCATTTTATAGATCAACCAAAATTCAAGGATATCTTATTTTATAGGGAAAGCATATGGTTATCCTTTCAACTAAGGATTGTCTCAGCTAACTGAAATTATATATTATTAAAGATAAGAAAAATATTGCAATAAGAAATCATGACAGCATATGAACAAGTGTAATACCTCTCTCTATGTTTACTGATAGTGGACCTACAAAATCTTTTGAATTGCTGCTGGTATCATCCTTTCTTTTCTGAGCATTGCGAATGCAGAATACCAAAAGAAGAAGTGCACATAAGGCACCAACTGTTGAGCCAGCAACTATCCCGACAAGCGGGCCTGTCTGAAGACCTTGCTTCTTGTCACCTTGACCAGCTGGGCTTACTGAGCCTTCTGGAGCATCTCCACTTCCCCGAGGATGGCTGGGCCGATTACGTGGTCTTCTAGGGGGTGGTGGCATAAAAGGTGGTGGTGGTGGAGCAGGTCCATTTGTGAATGAGTTTCCTCCAAGTCTATGGTTGTAATTGCAACAGGTCATTAGAGTGTGTCAAAGATGATTTCCAAAGAGAAAGGGCAGTAAAAGTATCTCATACGTCAGATCTGGGATTGAACTGAATTCTTGTGGTATCCAGCCATTGAAATTGTTGTTTGCAATATTTCTGTTTGAAGAGAAGGAAATCTCAGTTATTAAGCAAGCAGCATAGCAGTCAATTTGTTGTCTGAAAAACTCGCTTACAGTGTTGTGAGGCTTAGACCACTGAGAACATTGACAGAACCTGTTAATTGATTGTTTTGCATATAACTGCAAAATGGAGAATTTTATATCAAGCATTAGAAAGTTTTTAAAAAATGTTTAAATTGGGGTTTACATGAAAATTACAAGATACTCACAGACTAGAAAGATTTGAAAGAGAGCCAAGAGAATTGGGAAGATCCCCTGTCAATTTGTTGAAAGATACATCTCTGCCAAGGAATGTAAACAGTATCAGATGAATTCATGAGACCAAGGGAAGAGCATGTGTGTTAGTATAAAGTACTTCCTCCGTTTCACAATGTAAGACTTTCTAGCATTGCCCACATTCATATAGATGCTAATGAATCTAGATATTATTCATTAGCTTCTATATGAATGTGGGCAATGCTAGAAAGTCTTACATTGTGAAACGGAGGGAGTAGAAGGTAAATCTTATTACCATAAACGTGCAAAGGGTATAACTGCATGTCAAAACATAACAGCAAGTTTTACAACATTCATTGTAACTAGGAAGGTAGCCCGCACACATGCGCGGGCATCTTATTTAATGTGTTTGAAATTTTATTACGAATTTTTACGATTACTCTATTATAAACATGTTTTTTGAATAATTTGCTTGGGGTTTCTTTGAGTGCTAGTATTTCTTTTTCTAATTACCACTGTAGTATATGAATTCTAAACTAAAATTACTTAAAACCATTGTAGTTTTAAATTTATAAGAAACTATTGTGTCACAGTGAAATTGTTTCCTATGAAACTATAATATCATTTGTACACAATGCATTTCTTTTTTAATATTTAGTATATTTTATTTTTGCAGAGTAACATTTTTCTTGTATACTATATATGTTAATATCCTTAAAAAATATTCATAAATGACATATATGACTTTGCTATTTAGAATGGGTTTCAAATTCGAAAAAAATGTTAGATTTAGAAAAAAATAAATGTTCAGTTTTCAATTTTATTTCATGTTATTTTAATTTTTTTTTCTAGATTTCCATTCCGTCAAGTATCTCTTAAATGTTTTGATCTCTGCAATTTGGAATGAAAATATAAATGGGTTAAGGTGGTACAACTTGGCATGGGGTAATGGCATCCTTTCTAAATTTCTCTCTCCAATTAAGAATTAAGTAATGGTACCACTAAACTGGAGTGTTTCTGGATTTACCAAATAAATAAATATATAAATATACATGGTCTTTAATTTCCATATAGAATTGATTTGATATATATGGTTGTTTCACTGCTATAATTCCTTGGCACAAACCATGTGCTTGCTACGATCTTATATGATGCTCAACGCACCATGTTGGTTATTTTCAATCTGTTATCTATATATGACAAATAGACCCTACACGGGGTACACGTTACGACTAAAAAAATGATATAATCAAAAGCTTTTTCTCTAATCTATTAGTGACACCATATATCATATGTATAATTTATATGCTATGATCATCCTAGGAACATTTATTTATCTCGTATAAGATAATTTATTCACAAAAGCGCATCTAAAATCAAGTACAAGTAAATAGCCCCTATTTGCCTATTAAGAGAAATTAATTACTTCCTCTTTTTTGGAAAAATATATCAATAATTACAACACCAAATTACTTTTAGTAAATTTAAAATTGAATATGTTTTTTATAATATATTTGTTTTTTATAATATATTCAAAACGGAAGTAGTCGGTAGAAAGACATTAGATGTCTAGCAGGGTATAATAAATAATAGGTTTACTGGTTTATTAAAAAAAATAAGGTGGGATATTTGAATTTCTAATGAGAAATTTTTATTTTATTTTATTTAGTGGAGGCCTCAAGGTGGATATGTTCCACAAGGTAAGTCAATACGCATATTATATTATTGATTTAATTAAAAATTACAGTAGTTTATACATATTGTAAATTATATATAATTTAAGAAATTATGATTATTTTAAAGTCCAATTTATGCTGCTTCTATAAGTGCTAGATAGAGGAGAAAGAGAAGAAAATCATGTGATAGAGGGAGAGCCAGCTACATGTGTTAGGTAGAGGTCCATTTTTGAGATTTTTTTGGGTAAAGATAATTTTTATTTTAGTCATTGCGTGGAGTGAAAAAAACAAAGAAGGAATGGCAAGGAGAGAGAAATAGGAGGATGGGTGAGGGAAGAAGGTTGGTTTGCGATTTTTTTAAAAGATAGATCTAACCATATAAGATAGTGGGTCCATCAATTTAAGTGGAAATCGATAGTTAGATGTTTTATTGCACATATTTATTGAATTTTTAATTTATTAGAGTTCCTTATAATGACTTAAGAGCATTTATAGGCATACCACATAGTTAGAACGGTCACATGATCTAAATTTTAAATAATAAAATATGAGCAATATGAATTTTGAATTATGTATTTAATTATAAATAACTCAACAATTGAAAAGAAAAAAGAAAAATATGTAACTTGAGAGTTATGATCATTTAGATGTCCAAATTATTTTTTAATATATGGAGTGTTAGTTAGAAAATAGGATAAATTAGCTAAAAGATAGGAGAGAAGGGGAGAGTAGGAGGGTGGGAGGGAGCACGTACGTACGCAATGGAGGTGGGGATACCACTTTTTTCCTTTTTCCTTTTAGATGTAGATCTAATGGTTAAAATTAATGGGTCCACCGATTTAAAGGAAAATCAATGGTTAGATATTTATTTGATTTTTTTATTAAATTAAAATGCCATATGGCGGTTTAGGAGCGTTTGTAGGAGACGACGTGGCGGCTTGAGAGCGTTTATAGGAAGTTTAATGGACTTTTAGTATATAATAGAAGATTTCTAAGTTCATACTCAACTGTTGGAAGGGTTGCTTAGCTTTGCACTAGGTGGTTGATAGTGTCCCCTGGTACTACTACCAAGAATCAAGTCTCAAAATAATAATAAAGGTCACGTAACAGTACTAACGAATTGGAGGGAAATACTCAAAGCATTTATTGTATGGGCATCAATGTTATGGAATAATAAAATGACAAGAACCAAAATGGACAAGAAGATGGCATGCCTGGATTTAATCACTACAAACAGAACTGCTACTGAATTTCTACCTCTTAGGACTAACTTCTGCTATGGACCATGAAGCAAAAAGGCATTTTATGGAAGTTTATATGAGGCCATTTTAAGAATAAAATTTGAATTGAATTGTTGCCAAAAGATATATGCCATGTTGCAGAAGAATGTCTCTTGACCGTAAATAGAAACACTGTGTAATCACACAAAATCTAAATAAGATGACTTACAGCTCTGAAAGTGAATTGAGACTTCCAAATAAATCACCTATCTGTTGAGACAGTGAGTTGTGGCTGACATTGCTGCATTAACGATGTTACATTAATACTTGTTGATACAAAAGACAGCAAAGTAGTGATGGACAGAAGCTTACAGGTACTCTAATGAAACCATGTTGGATATAGAGTACGGAAGGTTGCCAGATAAGTTGTTGGTTGCCAGATTCCTGTGTCATCATTTAGAATAAAACACCCTATACTTATTGCTGCGTAACAGATTATAATAGGTGGGGTACATTACATACAGATATGTGAGATTCGGTGGCAGCTGGTAAGGAATTGAACCATGCAAGTTGTTGTTGCTCAAATCTCTGCAAGTAACGAAACGGGAGATCAAAACAATGCATAAAAAAAAATGAAGAGTATAACCAAGTTTTGAGCTCTCACAATGTCTTCAATGAGAATAGACTGGAGAGTTCATATCCCAGAGAGCCATCCAGTCCTACCCCAGCAAGCCTACTATACAATGGAAGAAGAATACGAGAGCAAGTCAGTGTTGAGTAGCTTCTTATAGTAACAAAAGTAAATAAAACTAAACAAAAGATGATGTATGTTCCAAAATGAAGTTTTTTTCCCACTGAATTTCCAACAAACTTGGTAAGAGGAGTTGAGACACCAATGAAAACAGAACTGCCATGAATGTAGTGAAGTTGGTTAGTGCGATGTAGTCACATTCCATAGATGGATCCAAAAAAGGAGTTTAATTCCCCTCTTTTCATTAATCCTGTTAGAAGATTTTGGCAATCCTAAACTATCTGCCATCAATGAAGATGGTGCACAATGTGATATTGTGATTCGATTCCCAAATGCACATTTGTTTTTATTCAGCTTGCAGAGAGTCAGAAATTTAGAATGCAGTAAGAATCAAACACCAGCCAATGAAAGAACTCATCAAATCCAATAAAAAAAAGCCAATGAAAGCTTCGCTGTCGCATCACGGGATCTTTACATTTCGGTGACGCCAGCGCCGGAGCAGGAGATCCCCTGCCACCCCGCGCCGCAAGGGTCGCCGCCGCCGCCGGCCGACCACCCAGCCAGCTGCGACGGGCTGTTCCACGACGAATACAGATTCCCAAGCGCCGCAGCTGCAACAACACCCCAACCATCAAAGGAAAAAGAAAACAAGATTTCCTGAACATTCCAAGAAAACCAAGAACCCCATGAATCGTGGGCCGCAGCTCACCGTCGGAGGCGTCGGTGGTGGCTCCCGCCGGCGCCGACGAGACAGCAAGAAGAAACCCAACCAATGCGGCGGCCAGCGCCGCCATTCTTGGCCCCTCCCTCCCACTAACACCTACTAGCTTCCACCCTCTTTCTCTCAAGAACGCAAACTTTGTAGGCCTTTCTCGGTTGCTTCTTGCCTTCTTGGCTAGGAAACGGCCACGCGGATCGCCATGGCCGCCGCCGCTGCCAATGGACAGCTAATGTGCAGGGAGCAAAACAGCTACTACTAGTAAGATAAAGAGGAGGAAAAGGAGAGAACACCGGATTGCTTCCTCCAGGAGGAGATTTGGATGCGGCGAGTGTGGGTAAAGAATTCAATATCTTTCTCCGCGGCCTTAAATTCTTTGATAGGCTTCTTTTTTAGGGTGCTGTTTGTTCTTGGCTTCTGCCTCTCATCAATGGGAGGAAGAAAGGGATGAGCTTTTTGATTCGATTAATAAATGTGGGGAGCAGGTGAAAGGTGAGGTAGGAGGAAGGAAGGAAGGAAGCAAAGCTGATCCTATGCTTTGCTAATGGAGTGGGAAAAAATGTTGTATATTAGGCTGTGTTTAGTTCAACACAAAGTTTGTATTTTGGTTAAAATTAGAGATGATGTGACTGAAAAATTGTGTGTGTATAACATGTTGATGTGATGGAAAAGGACGGATCCAAAGATCCAAACTTTGGATCTAAACACAGCCTTAGTAGTATAATGATTCTTGTGTTTGTGTTGTGTTTGACTCAAAATGTGGCTCTTCACTCAAGTGATTCCTCCTCAGGGTTTATAGAACCCATAAAAATCGTTCTGGATTTTTCAAACCGGGCCGAAAATATAAACTAGAGTATTTAGTTTTGATAAAGTTAAAATGATTAAATCGAGTTTTATTTTTTATAAGATTTATTTAAATTTTATCGGTATTTATCGGTTTAACAAATAGTTTCAATAAAACCCAAAGGCATTCCTCATGAGTGGTTTTTGATCTGTTGGGACTGTGAACCATGTTCCTCCTCCTTCCTCCTATGTTCCCCACAGCCAAAAAAAAGCTTGCTTTTTTCTTGCCAGTTTCCAACTCTCTCTGAATCCAGCTATGCTACTTACTTTTGTTGTTGGATGCAGTTAGTTGGTGACCTGTATTGCAACAGTTTCACACAGCAAGTGTTTACAGAAATGTAATCATGTACTACTACAGCAGATGTTGGCATGGTCTTCAATGCACTCATTTTACCAGAAAATAGTAGATCTTGAATCATATGTAAAAAAAAGATATTAACAATATATTCATGGTGTAAAAGTATTCTCAATGAAAATTTGGGTCATTATTGATTTTGTCATGGCATGCATATATTTTTTATGTATATGTATCGATCCGTGATCAAGATTTTGAATGTTTTAAGTTATATTATGTACTCTCTTCGTCTTAAAATATAGTAATTTTTAGTTGGATGGGACGTATCTAGTCCTTCTGTTTAAATTCATAGTATTAGGATACATCCCATCCATCCAAGCAAAAGTTGCTATATTTTGGGATGGAAGAAATAGTGACTACTATACCAAAATAGTATAAATGTAGTAGTTTAGCGTAATGTAAATTTTATCACAATATGAGCAACTAATATTATGATGAGTATTATATAGTTCAGAACATACTTGTCAAAGCAACTTAGAACATGTGCATTTCTTAACACTTACTTCAGGTGTTATAGAACTCTCTCCTTTAACACATGCTCTATCATTATTATTTTTGTCTGCTCCATCACATCAGATACTATGCCTGTTATTTTCTGATTAACATATATATTTTACTTCAGTTTTCGTTAGCCCGTTAAAATTTTACTTTAGAATATGAGATATTTCAAGTCTGTAATAATTAAAACTCCATTATTATCTAATAGTTTTTTTTGATTTTTTTCCTTAACTTCATCTTCATATCTAGTAGAAACGAATGCTATCATGCCAAGCTTGTTAAATTTTGACTAGAAGTTTATGATTTGCATGTTAAGAAATTTTGGTACATTACATGAGCTTAGGATGTGCTAGAGTCATGGCAAACACTTACAGTACAGTACTATGCTAAATCAGCCTAGCTAGTCTTCGGCTGAGATTGATGTACATCTTGAAACATTTGTCTCCTGCTAAATGTGTTTGGTAGATCATGCCGGTTGCTTGCAAGTTGGGTTCTGACTATTTTGACCAACCATTTGATTAATTGAGCCGCCCGTTTGCAACTAACCAGTACAGGGTTAGTCTTTGTTATTTTATTTTATTTATTTCAATCCATATGAATGTTGCATTGTACTTAACTATGCAATTATGAACATGGTTACGTACTATATTACTATTCTGCCCATGCATGTGGTGAGCTGAAAAAAATAATTGCTCTAGATGGCATCAGTTCTGTGTTCATCTAACTGTACTTAAGATGTGGCAGGATGATCAGTGTCTGAAATTGTGGCTTTTGGTCCTGGTAGTCTTGTTGTGTCTTGTCATCTTCTTTCCAAGAAAGAAGCTGAAAAAAACAAGATTGTGTTCAGCTGTTAGGTATGTGTAGAATGTTAGGGGAGACTTGCAAAGACCGTTATTAATATGTGAAATCAATCTAAAATCACAGAGATGGAACAAGAGAACATGATAATGCTAGTAGGGTTTGATGAAATTTGGGCAAATTTAAATTTAGAAAAAAAATAAAAAAAATCCTATAAGTAGTATCTAATTTCTCTTGCTATTTGGTGAAAAAGAATTTGTGAAAAAAACGAAGTTAACATCATATTTTGCCGCTAAACCAAAACTAAAACTAAAATAGGAAAAATAGGCTAGGTCCACAGTGAACACTATACATGGAGCCCTTTAGGCCCACTTGAGGGAAAACGTGCAGTTCCTACCTTGTTTCAAAAATGTCTATAATATACCACAGGTCTCTACATGATTCTTATATTCTTTTACATTTTCTGAATTTTACCTATATTTTTCTATAGATACCTATAATTTTCCAGAATTTGTCCTACTTTTTTTTTTGCATTTTTCAGTCCACTGAATAATATATCATGGTTACCACCACTTACCTGCGGTTACCGGCTACTGCGACCGATTGAGGGAGTTTGAAAATTTTGTATTCAAAAAGTTAAAGATGAATTTTTGTGCCCTTTTTTTTTTTGTGTTAACGGCACAGTTACCGCTTACCTTGGGTGGTAGTAAAACCAATACCACCACAGGGGGAACCTTAGCCGCAGTCCAATTCCTGCCGATTTTCTGAACCTGAAATTGCAAGAAAACTAACCATTCTACTCACATCTGAAACCTGAATCCTGAAGCAATTAACCAAACCATGCATGGCATGTGACAAGGTTACAATGCAGCCGATTTGTTGGCCCTATGGCCTGTGAGATCCTGCAGATTTACAGCCTAAATTATTTATCAGCATTTTGTCCTTCAGCTCCTGAAACCTTCTGCTTTGTCCACTGCCCAGTCCAGACTGGACTGTCCAACTCTTCAAGCTGTTGCAGCCTCCATGATTGACATTTTTCTGCTTTGTTTGGCCATCTGCATGGATGAATGAATGATTTCATTTCAGTTACATCTAGCTTGCTCACCTAAAAAATACGGAGTACTACTTAACCCCCAAATCATTGGCTGTCTTGATCCAATAAAAGGAAATAGAGGATGATGATGTAATAGCAGCTCATGCATCTATCTGCTCATCTTCACCTACCTATAGTTGGAACAGCAGGTTCATTCAGGTAATTATTCTGAATCCCTGTTCAGTCCAGATGTGAGTTAAAAAAAAACTGGATCTCCCATGATGAGAGAAAATGATGGTTAACTGTGGTGAGTGGATCCAGTCAGGCACTCAGACAAAATGCATCATGCAACTGGGATTCAATTGCGAAATGCTGGTCTGGTCCCTTCTTGTAAAACCTGATGCAATGATCAGATCACCCTGACACCTTGGTGTTTTTTGTAACATTGTGGATTGCTCTGAACATGGTGTGTGCAACTGTTGGTTTGTCACACTGTTCACTTGTTCAGTGCCCTGCCATTTGGTCAATTTGTACAGGGATGGATGGCAATCTCCCCAAGAGTATCCGAGACACCAGATTCAATGAAACAAACGTCATTGTGAGAAGGAATGTCCGGTTTTAAAGTTTGGGCGATCATATTTAGGCTTAGGGGAAAGTTCGGGGGTATAAAATAGACTAATCCAGAAAAGGGATAATACCACTTCCTCTGAAATTATTGTGAATTTGTGATGCAGGCATGCAGAAGATTGTCTCTTGTGTAATAAACAACACTGTTAATCAGAGAAGCCTCATGTTACATGTCAACCGACATTCTGCTCTCTCTTTGAAGTAATAAGAACATAAGGACACCAAAGTAATAACAGAAGGACAATGCAGTGTGGCAGCAGTGTTGCATTTGCATACCCCACTACTGCTGAAGTGATGAGTGCATGTGAAATGCACAACCTAAAATAAGTTAAAGAGAGAAGAGGAAAGGAGTTTATTTGCATATATGCAGAAGAATCTGTCCATTAATTTCCAGCTTTCCATTTCATGGGCCGTCATGGATTGCTTGTCTTGGCTTAACCTTGAAAAAACGGGGAGAAATTAGTGGGCTTGAATTGGGTCCTCCAAGGTTTTGTTTTGATCACAAATCGTTCTTGGACCCATGCCGCCCCAGTTAACAAACTCTTAGTTTTTTTGGAGAATTCTGTTGAAGAATGCCCTTTACTCATACAAACTGATTTTCCACAAAGTCAGAGAAGTTTGAACTTTTAGAATTAATCTAGAGGGGTTTCTTCGTTGCTGCCATCGTATTCTCATACCACTAAAAGTACAAATGTGAAAGTCTTACCATGAAATCATTTTTCATCACTTTGGGCGCATGTCCTTCCTAAGGGTATGCTTGGGAGGAAGGGCCGAAGGGATCCGGAGCATGGAAGGCTGAGAAGATAGGTAAAACGCGATAAGCCGTTAGCGTATGATTAATTAAATATTAATTATTTCAAATTTGAAAAATGGATTAATATGAAATTTTAAAGTAACTTTTGTATATAAAATTTTTATAAAAAGTACACCGTTTAGCAAATTGAGAAGCGTGGCGTGGAACATGTGGAATTTTTTTTCTCTCTTTATGCTGCAGCCCAACGCAGCCTAACGATGCTTAATTTATAATCATATGAGTACACAGTAGACGTTTAGTGATCCAATTAATATGGAAGTTTGGTGGCACTTTCTTGGGCTGCCATAAAAGAAAATATTTCCGGAAAGTTTTTGATGCAGGAGTGATCTTGATTACTTGGATGGTTTGTAAGGATAAAAATGCCAGGTCAAGGGTATCACTAAAACTGCCATTGACGTCTTCTAGTGTGTTTCCAAAAAAAAAAAAAAAAGATGAGAGTGCTCATGATGTGCCGCTGGTCTTGGAGACATCACGATATAAGATATATATACTATCTCCGTACATAATAAAACCAATCTAGTATTGGATGTAACATATCTTAAT